TACCTGCGGTAGTCTTACACATCACATCCAGATAGAACAATATCTAGAGGAAGAGGAGGGACATCTATGTCGTGTTTCTTTAGGAACAAGGAACAAACCAGAGAGACCCTGGCCAGTTTCCGTTCATATCTCATTGGCACAGGGGCCTAAATTGGCCACTCATAACAATGAGCTTACTGTTCAAGATTCTTCCTGAGCTGGAATGGAGTTTCATGTTCCCTTGAGGTTTGGCAGTCTGAACAAGGTTGGAGCTCTATTAGCAACAAAATAGCAGAGAAGGACATATTTAAGTAGTCAACACTACAGCTCTCTCAGTTGGTGGTTTTCATAGTATCCTCTAAGGACACCAGACTTCAGGTGCAGTCTGTGGTTGTTTATGAAAAAAATCAGAGGTGTTGCTGTTTCCATTGCTTCCAAGGCTGGGCACTAGGTGAGGCAAGTCCACACTCCCTCTGCAGACCCACAGAGAGTTAGTGGTGGACATAGCTTCCTTTTACAGGTGAGGAAACTTAGAGGAGTTAGACGATTTACCCAAGGCTTTTCACAGAGGGTGAGAGGGCTGTAGGTTTTTTTTCCCCCTCAGGTTCTACATTTATTAAAAAAAAAAGTAGTTCGGAGCTGGGCACCAGTGGCTCATGCCTGTAATCCTAGCTACTTGGGAGGCTGATATGGGGAATATCACAGTTTGAGGCCAGCCCAGGCAAAAAGTTTAAGAGACCCCATTGTAACCAATAGCTGTGTGTAGTAGCATGTGCCTATTATCTTAGTTATGCAGGGAAGCACAAATAGGACCACGGTTTAGAGCTGCCCGTGCATAAATTCGAGACCCTATTTGAAAAATAACTAAAAAGGATTAGAGGGCGTGGCGCAAGTGGTACCAGTACCACAAAATAAAAAGAAAGAAAAAGTTCCAGGTGTAGGGGTGGTGGTAAATGTTGAATCCTAGCACTAGGGGGGGTTAAGGCAGGAGGATTTTGAGTTTGAAGTCAGCCTGGACTACATATTAAGACTGTTTTCACTGCTCCCCTCCGAGAAAGAAAAAAAGTAATTCCAAAACAAAGTTATAGACATGTGCTGAGCTTTACATCTTTACATATTAGAAAATATTTCAAATACTTTTCGTAGACATTATACAAAAATAAAATATCAAAAGTCTAGATCTGCAGGGTCCCTGGTGGCTCACATCTATAATCCTAGCTACTCAGGAGGCAGAGATCAGGAAGATGGTGCTTGGAAGCCAGCTCAGGCAAGTTCTCAAGACCCTACTTTGAAAATGGCCAACATGAAAAAGGACTGGCAGAGTGGCTCAAGTGGTAGAGTACCTGCCTAGCATGCTGAGGCCCTGAGTCCAAACCCCAGTACCACCAAAAAAAAGAAAAAGTCTAGATCTGACTAAAGATGGGACTGTGGCCCTCAGTGCCATTGGAAATTGCAGAAGTTGCTACGCATCTCTCAGTCTAGGGAATGGTTATTTCCTTGTCCTCCTTCTTGCCCCATTCTTTTAGAGTACCTGACACTGTTGACCCTTTCTTCTTCCGGCTAGTAATGACTCTAGCTAGAAAATGTTAGTGCACTCCTGATGTTCATAGTCATCAGAGGTGATCCCAGGGACAAGCAAAGCCAGTATCTGGCCTCTTTTAGCCTGAGTGGGACCATCGAAGGAGCCCATGGACAGTACTAACTGGAGTCTAATGCTGCAGTGCTTACCTCCAGAGACCTTGACCAGTCCTGCCCTAGAGAACAGGCCCTTCACAATTGCTTCTCCACTTTTTCCCCTAAGTGTTGACTCTAAGTTTTTTTTATTTTCATGTTGCTGTGTTTTCACTCACTGTATTGTACCTGGAATTATTTAGTTCATTCTGACAAATCTTTTTTGGAGCACTTACTGTGTGCCAGGATTTACCTTGGACTCTGGATGGAGATAAAAGAATGGTTTGTTGATGATGATAGTATAGTAGTGTGTTGCTGTGATAAGAGTTGGAACAGTGAACCTCAGGAACCATGGACCTGTACACTAGACTCAGGTTTGGAAGGAAAGGAGACAGAGAAATCTTCCTGGTGGCACAGAGTTACCTTATTCTGAAGGAAGACTAGAAAATGGATAACTGGTCACAAAAGCATGTATGTATTAAAATACTGTAATCTGTTCAGGGGAGAGATTTATTTTGGTGATAGCAGTGAGATGGAGAATAGTTGCCTGGGCATTGTTGTTGTTTTGAGACAGGGTTTCACTATGTTGTCCAGGCCAGCTTCGAATTCCTCGGCTTTAGCCATCCACCTGCCTTAGCCTCTGGAGTAGCTGGGACTACAGAAGTGTACCACCACACCTGGTTTAAGTGGCTTTGGGTTGAGGTTTTTATGGTTTTGCAGTTCTGTATATCCCATAATTTGCCCATAATTACAAGGTCTAGAAACAATGTTTTACCCATTTTTGATAGAACCATATTTGTGCCTTACAAATATTTTTCTCTTGGTCTCAATTTTTCTGATGTAGTCTTGCCTAGTACATTCCTAATTTAAAAATACACTTGGTATTAAGGTATTAACTACTTTAACTTTCTTGAGAGAAAATTGACATTAGATATAAAGTAGAAAAAACCTGAAGTCCTTTGGGAAAAGCAAAACCGTTTTTATGATGTTAAAACACATGAAGAAATGGCTTTTCGTATCTGGTCCTTAGCACTTTGAGAAGAGATGTTGGGAGATTGATGCTGTTACCATTCATGTTGCTGAGGTCCTTCTGTTCTACCACGGGTAGCTGAGGAGAAAAAAGCCTGTTCCAGGCTTTTGGAGGGTTTTTGTAATCTCTAGGGAGAAATGGAGGTAGATGACGGAGCAATAGCAGGTGGCACCACCTAGTGTTGTAGCTCTTGTCTAGGCCCTAGGAGTTGAAACCCTTAGTCCTATGGTGACAAGTGTTACAGCTCCTGCATCTCAGGTCAGTCCAGGGTGTTTGGCAGTAGAGGCAGTAGCAAATGTTACTGCTCTGACACTCTGGGTTGAGACCCAGAGCAGAGGCTAGCAAGTGTTACATTTTTCTTTCCAATGTCAGGGTCTGTAGTTTCTTCTTTTTTGCTCTCCACAGCCTCTGACTTTCTTCATCTTCAGCTCTCTGTTCTCACTTTCTCTCTACTTCCACTGTCCCTTGTCTTTGCCACTTCCACTTCTTGTAGCCTCTGTCCTGGCTGCTGTCACTAGAACTATCATGTCAGGCTTTGCCATCACCTTTTACCACTATCTTTGTGGTCACTATTGGTGCTACTGCTCTGCTGCTACCACCACTGCCAGCTCTGCAGTCAGCCACCAGTGTCAGTTGTGTTGCCACCTTTGCCACTGCTTAGCCACCTCTCCCCTTCTCTCCTCTACACTCCCCTCCTCTCTTCTCTTCATTTTACCAGTTTAGCTGTTCTACTAATGGTGCAAATCAAAAGTAGGCAAGAGGACTGGCGGAGTGGTGCCTGTAATCCTAGCTTCTCAGGGTCATGGTTCAAAGTCAATCTGGGCAAATAGTTTGTGAGACCCTGTCTCAAAACAACCCATCACAAAAAAGGGCTGGTAGAGTGGCTTAAGGTGTAGGCCCTGAGTTCAGGGCCCAGTACTAAAAAAAAAGAAAGAAAAAAGAAAAAAAAGCAAGAAAGACCATTTGAGAAAAGTCTTTATTGCACTTAATCTTACAATATCAGATGGCAGTACTGGGAGGTGTCTCCTGGCTGACTCACTAAAGTGAGCTGAACAGCCTATTTACATAGCCAGAAAGGGGGTGTGACAAGGGTATCTACACCAATTGTGTTGTCAGTCCCTCCATGCAAATTAAGGGTTGTGTTTACACCTGGCACAGGCCTTTTGCTGGGGTACCAGGGGAAGTGTTCCTTCTTTGTCCTGGGTGGAGATGTCTGCAGGGTCATCTAGAGTGCACTGAGGCTTGTGATGGCAAAAAGTCTGGTGCAGACTATTTCCTGGGATGGTGCCTTCAGGAGCCAGAGTTGTACTCTGTGTGTAGCTTCTGCTTTTAGCTTCCTCAGGGCATTTATGGACTGTTCAAAGTAGATTGTGCTGACATGAGAGCACAATCTGCTGGCTGGCTGCTTACCTGATAGTCCTTTGCTCAGGGCAATCAGGGCACCAGGAAAGGGTCTAACAACTGTCAACTAGGGAGTTGAATCTTCCTGCCCCTATCAGCTTATTTAAAGAAAAAGTAGACTTAAAAATAGGTGCTTACAATAAAGGCTTATCATTGACAGTGCTTTAACAGTATTTAACAGTGCTTTAACAATGCTTAACTCCAGCCTCAGTGCCCCATGAAGAAGTGGGTCCCTACCATCTGTTTCAGTGTGATCTGATTTCTTAGGCAAAAACCTTCCCTTGAGGGTTGGTGGAGTGGCTCCAGTGATAAGAGCACCTGCCTAGCAATGGGATACCCTGAGTTCAAACCCCAGTGCCACCAAAACAAACAGCCAACCCTTCCCTTGAGTTAGGAAGAAGACTCTGAACAGAACAAATTTCTGTTCCTCTCCCCTGCATCCCATTGTCTTTGTATGTGAAGTAAACTGGGATAGTTGACTTTTTGATGGCTGAAACATACTGTAGCTCTAAAACCAAATCATTGGAGAACTTAGAAAGGATCTGAGCACTAGAAAAGGAAGAGAAGGTGGACTTCTGTGCACAAAAAAAATGGATGGAGGAGAAAAAATTTGCATCATTCAACAAAAATTTACCAACTGCCTCTCATACGCCAGTATTGTATGTGCTGGCGGTGGGGGGGTTAGGGGGTGGAATACACATAGGCCCTGTTTTCACTCAGGGAGCTCCAGGAAACTGTGACTTGCCAGGTGTTTTTTGTTTGTTTGTCTTAGGGTCTTTTTTTTTGTAACCCAAGCTGGCCTCGAACCCAAGATCCTCCCGCCCGCCTCAGCCTTTTGGGTACTGGGATTATAGGCATGAACCACTGTGTCTGGCTTGCCACATGTTTTGACTCCCTTTTTCTCTCTTCTTTTCTCTAGGACTGAATAATAAGTTGAGCAGGCTCTGACCATTGGCCTTCCACTTGCCAGGATCTTCTACCAAGCTATCCTTTTGTGGCCCATGTGCTGCATCCTCTGCCTTCAGTGTGCTACTGGGCCCCAACGCAATGTGTGTTTGTCAAACCATGGAAGTGGGGCAGTATGGCAAGAACGCAAGTCGGGCCGGAGACCGGGGAGTCCTCCTGGAGCCCTTCATCCACCAGGTGGGCGGACACAGCAGCATGATGCGCTACGACGACCACACTGTGTGTAAGCCCCTCATCTCCCGGGAACAGCGCTTCTACGAGTCCCTCCCTCCCGAAATGAAGGAGTTCACCCCTGAATACAAAGGTCAGTCACTGGCCATTTTCATGAGAGTAGCAGCCTTGGGCTTATGGGCTCTTGACATAGTTGTCCTTGCTTTGTTTGTTCTGTGATGTGATTGTAGGTCTCTTATCTCAAAGCAGCTAAGTCACCTTGTTGGGCAAAATTAGAAGGTAAATGCATCCGAATGGTCTTTAGACCTTGAAAGTGGAGATTATTGATAGTAAAAAGCTGAGTAACATTCACAGCTGTAAGATCCATTGGTGGAGAAGAGTCTGCCCTCAAGATTTTTCCATTTGCTATTTAGGTGTAGGAGAGAGGGCAACTGGGCCCCAGAGAAGTATAAACTATTCTTCCAGGTTAAGGCAGTTGGACAGATGGCAAGGCGATTCTGTGGAGCTTGTGTCTATATGTGCTAGGAGAATGGATTTATGGGAATTTCTGGAGCCTGAATGTTCAAATATCTGAAGGAAAAATAAGTTGTTTAAAATATGAGAAAAATTAGCATGTATCAGAATTCCATTTTGGGGCCAAGAGTTTAGCTCAGTAGTAGAGTGCTTGCCTAGTACGGGTGAGGTCCTGAGTTTGATCCCTAGCACTGCAAAAAAGCGAAAAGCAAACCAAAAGACCCTCAGAAAAACAAACTACTACTTTTTAAAAAAAAGGCTGGATAGTATTCTATTGGACATTTTGTTTATCCATTCATCTATTGCTGAACACTTGGGTTATTTCCACCTCTTGGCTATTGTGAGTAATACTGCTGTGAGCATTGTCGTGCAGTGTTTGAGTTCCAATGTGCAATTCTTTGGGGGATATGTACATAGGAGTAGAATCGCTGGATCATATGGTAATTCTGTATTTACTTTTTTTTTTTTTCCTTTTGTGGTGCTGGGGATTGAATTTAGGGCCTTGCATGCTCTAGGCAATTACTCTATCACTGAGTTACACCCTCAGCCTTGTATTTACGTTTTTGAGAAACTGCCAAACTATTTTTCACAGTGGCTGGACCACTTTGTATTCTAGTAGTTTATGAGGGTTCCTGTTTCTCTACGCCCTTGTTCACATTTGTTCTTTTCTTTTTATCTTAACCATCCTAAGAGGATGTATGTGACATGTGGATTTGATTGTACTTGTGATTTATATTTCCCCAGTGACTAATGATGTTAAGCATCTTTGGTGTGCTCATTGATCATTTGTATATCTTGGAAAAAAATTCTATTAATGTCCTTTTGACCATTTTTTAATTGGATTGTTTCTTAATTTTTCTTTTTTTCAATGCTGGGAATCAAAACTAGGGCCTTGTGCATGCTAGGCAAGGGCTCTACCACTTGAGCCACACCCGTATACCTTTTGTTTTTATTTTTCAGGTAGGGTCTCCAGCTTTTTGCCCAGGCCATCCTTGGACCACATATCCTACCTATGCCTTCCAAGTAGCTGGGATTACAGGGATGTACCATCATGCCCAGCTTGTTTGTTGAGATGGGATCTTGATAACTTTTTGCTCTAACTGGCCTTGAACCACAATCCTTCCAATCTCTGCCACTTGAGTAGTTGGGATTGTAGGTGTGCACCACCATGCCCAGCCCTTAACTTTTCTCTTTCTCTTTAAAATTAGTATATATTAATTACACAAAGGGGTTTCACTGTCATGTTTCCTTACATGCATATAATGTACTTTGATCAAAATCACCCTATTACTCTTTCTTATCCTGTCCCTTTTTAAACAGTTTTAACTGGCTTCATTATTTTCATACATGCTTATGAAATACTTTTGCTCATATTCACCCCACTTTCACCCTCCCCTTCCATCCTCCCTCCCTTCTACTGGTGTCCACTTCGAAGCAGTTTCAGCATTTTATACTAGTGTCATTCTTTTTTTTTTTTTTTTTTTGGTCTAGATTCTGCATATGGGAGAAAACATACATGCAATATTTGTCTTTCTCAGTTTGGATTATTTTGTTTAACATGATTTTTTAATCCATTTTTGTGCAAACAGCGTAATTTCATTCATCTTTATGATTGCTTCATTGTGTATATGTACTACATTTTCTTTATTCATTCATCAGTTTATAGACAGTTAGGCTGATTCCACAGTTTGAGTGTTGTGAATAGTGCTGGTATAAACACGGGTGTGTACATATCTCTGTACATACAGACTTACAGTCCTTTGGATACATGCCCAGGAGTGGTGTACCAGGATCGTGTGGTAGTTCTGTTTAGTTTTAAGGAACCTCCACACTGATTCCCATAGTGGCTACACTAAATTACATTTCCCTTTTTCCTCACATCCTTGCCGACATTTGGTGTTTATTTTCTTTCTTCTTCTACTTTATTGTTGTCAGTTTTTCTTAATGATTGCCATTCTGACTGGGGTGAGATGGAGTCTCAGTGTAGTTTTGATTTGCATTTCCTATATGGCTGAGGATGCTGAACCTTTCCTCATGTGTTTATTGGTCATTCGTACTTCTTTTGAGAACTGTTCAATTCATTTGTCTGTTTGTTAGCTGAATTGTTCTTTTAGTGTTTAATTTTTGGAGCTCTTTGTAAGTCTGGCAATTAATCCTTTATCTGATGAGTAGCTGGCAAAGATTTTTCTCCCAGTTTGTAGGTTGTCTTTGATTCCGGTAATTATTTCCTTTGCTATGCAAAACTTTTTGTGGTAGTGGGGCTTGAACTCAGAGCCTACACCTTGAGCCACTTCACCAGCCCGTTTTGTGTTGGGTCTTTTCAAGATAGGGTCTCATGGAACTACTTCCCCAGGAACTACTTCGAACCATGATCCTCTTGATCTCTGCCTCCTGAGTAGCTAGGGTTACAGGTGTGAGCCACTAGTGCTTGGCTGCAAAACCTTTTTTAATTTGATAAAAATCCCTTTTGTGAATTGTTGTTCTTAGTTCCCCGAGCAATTGGAATCCTGTTCGGAAAGTCTTTGTCTGTGCCTGCATCTTCGAGGGTCTTCCATATGCTTTTCCTCAAGTAGTTTCAAAATTACATGCCTTAAATTTAGATCTTTGGTCCATTTTAAAGTAATTTTTGTATAGGAGATAGGGGTCTTCTACATGTGGGTAATCCAGTTTTCCTAACTCCATTTGTCAAAGAGGCTGTTTTTGTTCCAATATATAGTGTTGCACCTTTGTTGATAATCAGGTGGTTAAAGCTGTGTGGCTGGCCCTTAACAGTCTCTTTTTTTTTTTTTTCTTTTTTATTCTTATAGATATACTACAGTGAGAAAAACAAACTAACACATAGTTTCATAAGGTGATTAAATAGGATAGCCAGGGTGGGATTTCCTGTTATTCAGCTTCATCCACGTTTCAGGTCTGGGACTTTCTTCTGTTATCTCTCCTCTCCTCAGGGTGGGAGGAGACCACGCTCTCCTTAGCATGTCCTGGACTGTTGATGATGGACGCGTGTGCATGGTGCAGTCTATTTAGGTGAGAGCTCAACAAAATTTCAGAGCACCGTGCAGGACCTGTCGATGTAGAGCTGGCTTCTGTGGCTCTTCTCATGAACTGACTCTCCATCAAGACCCTTCTCCAGAACCTGTTCTACCTTTTTATCTTCTTATCTTCTGACCTCCATCCACTTCTTCCCTTCATGTTTTTTTTTTTTTTCCTACCAGTGTCCCAGCTAGAAGTTTTTTTTTTTGCAGTACTGACGCTGGAACTCAAGAGCCCCAGCCCAGAGAAGTTTTTTACCTAATGGTTGAAAGTTGGGGAGGGGCAGTCATTATTTGCTTCTCCCTCTTCACTATCCTGTTTGGGGCTCCTCTCAGGCCCTTCCCTTAGCCTACTTTGAAAGTTACAAACACTGAATACTGATTTTTCTCTTTACATTCCTACTATAAGGACCTAAGTCCCCTTTTCCTCTAGGGAAAGGTCTTGAGGTTTGGCAAAGAATGAAAAGCATGGAGAGTACAATTTCAACATCTTCTTTTGCTATGTGGAGAAAGAGTAAAATGGGTTTGGAGACTACATGAGGAAGACCTTCTTTGGAAGGTCTCTCCGAAGAAGTCACATTTCCACAATGGAAATGTGGTCTGTTAGTGCTTGTGGTCTTTTAGTGCTTCCTATTCAACAGTGTTCTGGACACTGCCTCTGAGAAGGTAGCTTGCTTCAGTCCTCTCTCTTCTGTGCTTCTATGCCACTCTTTTCTAACAATGGCAACCATGACTGGCTTTTCCTGGATGATTACTATAAACTCATTAGTCCTCATTACAACCCTCCAAGACAGTTACTGTTTTTTCCATTTTGCAGATGAGGGAGGCTTTGGGAATAGCAACGTTATCTAATTAGAGGGAGACTACACTAAAGAATCATACTATGTTCCCCTGCCTCTCCCTCCCCTTAATTCTTAATTGGCAAAGAGTTGAAATAGTTTTTAGAACACTCCCAAGTTTTTTTTTTTTTTCCCCTTTAGTTATGTTTGAAATGTTCTTTCCAGTGCCTCTTGTTCACAACTGCTCCTCATCCTTCAGTTCTCAATTCTCCCCATACCTTCCTTCTCTGCTAATACTATATTTAATGTTCTCTGGAAACCATATTATTTCCAGTTACAGAACCTCACTTAAATTTCTTCATAGCACTTACCGCAATCTATGTTTTGTTCATGTTTTTTATTCTTTGTTTCTCACATTAGTATATAAGCTCTTTGAAGACATGGACCACAAGCCTGGTTTCTAGTAGATGGTCAATAGTACTTGATAAGTGAATGAGACAAAACTTACTTGCATAAGAATTCAGAAGCCTGGAACTTCATACTTAGTACTGCAAGCAGTAACATGTCTGATAATTGCAGTTGGTTGTACTAAATAAATGAGAATCTGTTTTTTAACTTCCTGCCAAGCTATAGAGTATCATTTTTAAAAAAGACTCAGCAGCCAGGTGCCAGTGGCTCATGCCTTTAATCCTAGTTACTCAGGAGACAAACATCAGGAGGATTGTGGTTCTAAGCAGCAAATAGTTTGTGAAAACCTAGCTTGTAAAAAACCCATCACAGAAAAGAGCTGGTGGAGTGGCTCAAGGTGAAGGCCCTGAGTTCAAGCTTCAGAATAACAACAACAACAAAAAGACTCAGCAAACTAGGAATGAAAAGAAGTTTCCTCCTTGTGATAGTGGGTATCTGTGAAGAATCAACAGCTAGCCTTATGTGTAATGATGAAACAATGGCTTCCCCTTCAGATCATGGCCTGAGACCACGTTGTCTATGCTCTTCCCTCCTTGTCAGCATTTCACTGGAGTTTCTGCCCAGTGCAGCTACATCCATGTGGAAAAGGGAGAAGTAACAGTATTTTTATTTTTTTATTTGTTTATTCATACATGCATACATTGTTTGGGCCATTTCTCCCCCCATCCCCCACCCTTCCTTCACCCCCCCACCCCCAGAAATAACAGTATTTACAGATAACATGGCACTCTGTCTTCAGCCAAGCCATCACTTGAGCAAAGGACTCAGGAAACTGACATCCTAGGCACTCTTTCTTAGGAAGTTCCTTAAAGACATATTCCAGCCACACAGGAGTAAATCAAAGGGAAAAGTAGAGGCTTGGGGGAAGAATGGCTCTTCCCTGGAGCTGTGTGACAGGCCTGGAGGACACTCAAGATCAGAGTGTGAGAGGGTGCCCAGGAGATATGACTCTAAATTGGTGGAGGGCATTCAGTTTTAAATAAAATTGAGGCTCCAGTAAAGACAAAAATGGTAAGTAACCTGCAGGAGAGACAGTCATCTATGTAGGAAAGCTAGGATATAGATGTGAAGCCCTCTCAAGTGAGGCATAAATTTAAGCAATATGTGAGATGTAAGAAGGAGCAAAGAATCCATTTCACTTTGTTTTTGGAAGGATTTTTCTTCTAGTAAGTTCTAGGGCCAACACTGGTGGCTGATGCCTATAATCCTAGCTACTTGCGAGGTTGAGATCAGGAGGATTGCAGTTCAAGGCCAGTTCAGAAAAATAGTTCATGAGACCCCAACTCCAAAATAATCAGAACAAAATGAACTGCAAGTGTGGCTCAAGCATGTCTGCTTTGCAAACATGAAGCCCTAAGTTCAAGCCCCAGTCTTGCAAAAAAAACCAAACCAAAACAAAAAAGACTTAGGGATTGTTGCAGTGCTGACCAGGAAAAGGAAATGGGTGAAAGAATACTCTTGCTCTGGCATACTGGCATAATTGTAATGCAACTCATTCACTCATTTCAGATTACAGAGCCTGTTGTATACACCCAGCCAGTTGTAGAAATGGAGTTGATAGACCGAAGGTAGGGTATGGAAGTTAGACAAAGGGTAGCCTTATTTAAAAAACAAAACAAAACAAAAAAAACCCTCCTCCTTGAGTTAGGTTTCTGGGTATTATTTCTGTTTTAACTCCTTTGGTAATGATCCAGGAGAAACTACAAACAACTAGTTTGACAAAAATGGACACAATAAAGCATTTTCCATGGAAACAGCAGGGGAAATGGGAAAGTATTTCACCTTTGAGATGCCAGGCTGGAAGTTCTGTGTGTTAGGGTAGGGAAGTCTGATGCTCAGTGAGGGCAGAACACATTTTGGGGACTTTTGGAAAGAGAAGTGGTGATGTTTCTTTAGGTGACACTGTCAGACAGAATGAAAGGAGATCTAAAGGAGAACATAGACAGGAAATGTCAGCATTGTTAAATAGGCAGGGTTAAATTATGTCAAGGTGTGGATGGCACCCAGAGAGCACAGTTTTGTTGTTTTGGTGGTTCTTGAGTCTGAACTCATGGCCTCATCCTTGCTGGGTACTCTACCACTTGAGCCATGCCCTTCAGCCCCAGTTCTTTTTGAGTGATACAGAAATCAGTAACTGAAAGTGAAAGGACTAGATAAGAGAGTGGGAAATAAATATAGATTTATCTTAGTTCAAAGGTAAGCAGCAGATGTAGGATAATGATGGTGATTATGTCTTCTGAAAAGTTATTATTCCTAATTGGTCTACAGTTGAGTCCAAGGCAGGTGATATCTGTGTGCTATGGGAAAGCAAGTACTGAGAGGCTGGCGGAGTGGCTCAAGTGGCAGAGCACCTGCCTAGCAAGCGTGAGGCCCTGAGTTCAATCCCCACTACTCCCCCCCGACCCGCCCAAAAAAAAAAAAAAGTGAGTATTAAGTCAGCTACAGGGGACCTGGTCTGTGATAATATTTGTTTACTGGTGTTTTTTTTCTTTTTTTTTCCCACTAGGAGTGGTATCTGTCTGTTTTGAGGGGGACAGTGATGGTTATATCAACTTGGTGGCCTACCCTTATGTGGAGAGTGAGACTGTGGAGCAGGATGACATACCAGAACGGGAGCAACCTCGGCGCAAACACTCCCGCCGGAGCCTGCACCGGTCAGGCAGTGGCAGTGACCACAAGGAGGAGAAAGCCAGCTTGTCCCTTGAGACCTCTGAAAGGTAAGAGGGTGGGAGGTAAAGCTGCAACTGCTGGCATAAGCACTCAGGATATCTTTAGAGTCCTGACACATCGTCAAGAAATAGTTCTCAACATTGTGGAGGATGGCTGGTGTTCCTGGGCCACCCTCACAGGTGTGGCTTGCGGCTTCCCCTCTGTGTCACATCATCCCAAGTGCAAAATTTGCTTTATGAGTCATTTGGTGAAAAGCCAGTGATCATAGATTTAATATCAAAGTCTGTTCACGTTTAGGTTCAAGGCCCTGATCTGAAGGTGACAACTCTACCTGCAGTGACCATACTTCTATTTAACCTGTTAGCAGAGACCCTGTGTCACTCCAAGGGTGGAGGTTGTTTCTTTCTCAGGGCCAGGGCTGCAACTCCAAGGGTAATGTCAACCACAGGCCCCATCCAGACCCAGTTCTTGTTTGGATTTACTTGGCAAATAAGTCAACCTTACAGTTTTCTAAAAGGGACCACAAAAAAAGGTATCTGTGCATGGCCCCAGCAGTGCCCACATAAGAAAAAAGTGGGGGTTTTATCAGGCATTGATGGGGTCTTCTAGTTCCACTTCAAGGGAAATGGTGTCTCTGCCAGGGCCTCTTAGCTAGGGTCAGAGAGGTGTCCGAAATGCTTGGCCCTTAGAGGGGGAACAATGGTTAGTTTGAGTTCCTCAGTTGGAGGAAAGGCCAGAGTTGTGGAGTAGCATTTGGAATTGCTGTAATGCTGTACCTCTGGTGTGAGCTGCAGATTTGCTCTGAAATTCCAGAGCATATGGCTTTACTAGTGGTATTCTTTTTTGTCCTTTGTCAGTGTGAAAAACGGTATTGCTAGTTACTTCAAAGATTTTGATAACAAAATAGTGCTAGTTCCAATATTTTCAATTGGAGTCGCCTTCCCACCAGAACCTCTTTTGGTTTGACTTAATTTAGAAGTAAAATTCTCTTACTTAAATGGCTTCATGCTTTCCATAGATGTACCAGTGTTTTACAGGTACCTTCGGGGCCTGCTGTCTTGCTTAGGGTAGACTATGACTTGCCTTTTTTCTTTTGGCATTTTTCTCCTTTGACCAGGCCTGATGCAAAGATAAAGCTTTATAACCATGGTTTTAGCAGATGCTTATTAAAAAAAAAACTCTCCTGGATGTTGTAGACCAAGACAGGACAGTTGTTCATATCCATGCTCCACCCTGTTTTTTAGTGTGAAACTGTACCTGCATCACATTTTTTGTTCTTTTTTATTGTCAAAAAATATTTGGGCTGGAGACATGACTCAAGTGGTAGAGTGCCTGCCTAGTAAGCACAGAGCTCTGAGTTCAAACCTCATTACTGCCAAATATATATATATATATATATATATATATATATATACATACATACATACATACATACATACATACATACATAATTATACAGTACCACTTTAGCCTTTCTTTGGCTGGGGTGGTAATGGGTTTTGGTTTCATGGTCTTGTGCTTGCTAGGCATTCTACCACCTGAGCCATGCTCCCTGTACACTTTAACTTCTCTTTTCTTTCTTTCTTTCTTTCTTTTTTTTTTTTTTTGTGGTACTGGGGCTTGAACTCAGGGCTTCACACTTGCTAGGCAGGTGCTCTGCCAGCTCAGCTTTTGTGTTCATGAGAGGGTCTCATGAACTATTTTCCTGGGCTGGCTTTGAACTGCAATCCTCCTATCTCTTGCCTCCTGAGTAGCTAGGATTATAGGCATGAGCCACCGGCCCCTGGCCACTTTAACCTTTTTTAAGTGTATAATTCAGTAGTATTAAGTTCATTCACAGTGTTATGCAATTACCTCCCCATGTCTCTTTCCCTTAACCCCTAGAAACTACTTTCTTACTTTGCATTTACCTCAGATAAGTGGAATCATATTATGTTTGCCCTTTTGTGTCTGGCGTATTTCACTTAGCAAAATGTTTATAAATTTATCCACATTGTAATATGTATCATAATTTCCTTTTTATAGCCAAATATTCCGTTGTGTGTATATGCATTTTGTTCATCTGTGGATGAACGAGTCATTTGTACTTTTTGTTTGTTGTGAGTAATGTTGCTTGTGAACATTGACATCAAATATCTGCTGAATCCTGTTTTAAGTTCTTTTGGATGTATACTTAGACATGAAATTGCTGAAGTGTCTATCCTATGTTTAATTTTTGGGGCTTTTTTTTTTTTTTTGAGATTGGATCTTGCTCTGCTGTTCAGGCTGGTCTCCAACTCCTGAGCTTAAGCAATCCTCCCAACCTCAGCTTCCTGAGTAGCTGGGATTACAGGGATGTACTACTGTACCTGGCCTGTTTTTAACATTTTGAGGAACCACAAAACTCTTCACCGTGGAGAGGCACTGTTTTAAATTTTTTCCAGCAATGTCAAAGGTTACAGTTTCTTCTTGCATCCTGGATTGCTCTTGTTCCAGGGTTTTGTTTTTTTTTTTTAAACTAGCCATCCTAGTGACAGTGAAGTGATATCTTCATCATATAATTTGCAAATAATTACTTCGCAGACAGTTTCAGAGACACAAGAAAAACATTATCCATACCATTTACTCACTTTTATTGGCTCATGTATCTGGTGGGACCCCTGTGCCACCTATCAGCAGGGTTTGTAGATGGCAGATTAGGCTTGATCCAATCCTCCTCTACTCTGTGTCCCCAAGGATGACTTGCCTAAGTCCCCTAGTGATGTATTTGTTCTTCCTTCTTAGCTCCCAGGAGGCAAAGAGTCCAAAGGTGGAGCTACACAGCCACTCAGATGTTCCTTTCCAGATGCTAGATGGCAACAGTGGTCTGAGTTCTGAGAAGATCAGCCACAACCCCTGGAGCCTGCGCTGTCACAAGCAGCAGCTGAGCCGCATGCGCTCCGAGTCTAAGGACCGAAAGCTCTACAGTATCCTTGTCACCCCTCCTTCGGCAGTGGGACTGTGGGTCCTGTGTCAGGGCTCCCTCTGGACTATAACCATGGTCCTTCTCTGTCTGGAGCCCCTCCTTGTTCTTACCTCCTTTTTGCATAGACTTACCTTCCTCTTTCTTCTTTTACTTTCATTAACATGTTGTTTTTTTTAACCTTTTGGATATGATGAGGCTGAATCTTACAACTTTTCCGTCTAGAATAGTGCTGTGGGATATGTTTAAATGTATAGTCCAGTGGTTTAACATTTAATAAGAAAATGACAAGACATTTTTTTTTTCTTTTTCTTTTTTTGGTGCTGGGAATTGAACCCAGGTCCTTGTTCATGCTAATCATCTGCTACCACTGAGCTGTAGCCCCAGCACAGAGATAGATATTTAAGTCCAGTGTTTTCTTAAAATTCCCATTGGGAATGTTAAAATCTGATTTCCTTAGCTTTGTAGTAGTGTTGCAAAGATGTCTTCCTTATTTCTTAGGCCTAGGTGAGGCGTGCTGGCTTAAGTAGGACATTGTTTTTCTGATGGTGACAGGGATATGTCCACATCTGCCAAATCTTCTTTAGTTTATTGCCCAAAAGGTAGATCTAAAGAATGAAAGTAATTTTTTAAAAAAATCAATGGGTGTGACATATTCATATAATGAAACATAAAGCTGTAAAATGCTGATATATGCTAGGACACAAATGAACCTTAAAAACATTTTACCAAGTGAAATGAGCCTGACAGAAAAGATAAAAATGTAAGATTCCATTAACATGAGATACGTTGAATAGGCAAATTCCTAGAGACAGACAGAATACAGGTTCCCTGGGGGATGAGGGAGGGAACATGGGGAGTTAATGTTTGATGGATATAGAGGCTAAATTTGGGAAGATGCAGAAAGTTCTGGAAGTGGATGGTGGTGATGGTTGCACAATAATATGAATATACTTAATGTCACTGAACACTTAAAAATGGTTAAAATGATCTGGGTATGGTGATACATGCCTATAATCTCAGCACTCAGAAGGCTGAGGCAGGAGGATTGAGAATTCAAGGCCAGCCCGGGCTGCATAGCAAGACTCTGCCTCAAAAAAAGAGGGAGGAGGGTTTAAAATAGCAAATTTTATGTAATGTATTTTTACCACAAAATGTGTTTCATTAAGAAAGGCAGAAATGTGAAAACCTTATTTGAGAATTTGTCGGGTAAATACAGCTTACATTGGACCAGAATGCCTTTTTTGGAGTTACTGGGGTTTGAACTCATGGTTTTGTATTTGCTAGGCAGATGCTCTACTACTTGAACCATACCTCCAGCCCTGGAATGCCCCCTTGTATAGAAAACCTTTGTTGTGCTTTCCTGGATGGTTCTGACAATGCGTGTGATTGTCATTCTTCTTGACTGTGGCCCAGAATTCCTCCTGCTTGAGAACGTGGTGCATCACTTCAAGTACCCCTGTGTGCTGGACTTGAAGATGGGCACCCGGCAGCATGGGGATGATGCATCAGCTGAGAAGGCAGCTCGGCAGATGAGGAAGTGCGAGCAGAGCACATCTGCTACGTTGGGGGTCAGGGTCTGTGGAATGCAGGTGAGTTACCACTGGTGAGAGCGTAGGTGCTGCATTTGCATGTTTTAGGTTGTGCCCATACCTGCCTGTCAGCCATTCCAAGTGTTCTCCTGGCCCCACTGTTTGGGAGTCTCCTGGAAAGGGTGAGTCCCCCACAGGGTGCTGAGTATGTCCTTGCAGGTGTGTTCCCTAAGCCCTGCTGTCTTTACCTGTTGACCTTGATCTGGGCTCCAGGTGCAGAGCCGCTGTGACAGCCTGACATTGGGGCAAGTAAGACTCTTGTCTGTCAGCTGTATGTTCCTAGTTAAAGTCTAGGTGGGCCCCAGGCAGATTGGAGGAGGGCTCCAATGCTAACCGCTGTAAGCCAGGTGTTGGCTTTCACAGCTTTCGGAGGGGAAAACCCAGGGTAAATGTGGCCTGCCCTGTTTCAGTTGGAGCAACTGAAGAACCCAAGTTGGTCAGTGTTCCTTCCAGATGGTGCTTGCTTCTGTGGGAGGAAGGGGCAGGAGGATTTATTAGGAGGTCATCACACTTTTCTCGTGCTCATCCTGTCTGTCTCTTGGCATTTAGGTGTACCAGCTGGACACAGGCCATTACCTCTGCAGGAACAAGTACTATGGCCGTGGGCTCTCTATTGAAGGCTTCCGCAATGCCCTCTATCAGTACCTGCACAATGGCCTAGACCTGAGACGTGACCTCTTTGAGCCTATCCTGAGCAAACTGCGGGGTCTCAAAGCTGTGCTGGAGAGGCAGGCCTCCTACCGTTTCTACTCCAGTTCTCTACTTGTCATTTATGATGGCAAGGAGTGTAGGTCTGAGCTACGTCTCAAGCACCCGGACATGGGGCTCCCTGAGGTGGTGCCACCCTGTGGCCCTAGCACCAGCCCCAGCAGCACCAACCTGGAGGCTGGCCTCTCCTCTCCACCCAAGGTGGATGTTCGCATGATTGACTTTGCACACAGCACGTTCAAGGGCTTCCGGGATGACCCCACTGTGCATGATGGGCCAGACAGAGGCTATGTGTTTGGCCTGGAGAATCTCATCAGCATCATGGAACAGATGCGGGACGAGAACCAGTAGGCCCTGTTCTGGGCCTCCAGGACCCCTTCCTCTCCACCCGCAGGCAGGGACCATTGCTCTGAACTTGCCATGAGGACACACAGACTTGCTTTTAAAGGGTTATATTTCTCTTTGGTGTAAACTAAAAGAAATGTTTTTAGCTGTAGCCTGGAATCTATATATATAAAGTGAAGGAGGGCAGAAGATACGTCCTCTCAGCCAGGCTCCTTAGCTCATGGCTCTGACTGCTGTGTCTAGGCTGAATTAGGAAGGAAGAGGTGCCCCTGGTGGGCTTGGCAGCAGAGACATGATGCCCTTGGATTTTGGTTTCTTTTGCCTAGATCTTTGGGGTATGTGGTTGCAGGGCCCTGCTGATTGTGAGGTGAAGCCCTGGGCTGGCACAGGGTCCCTCCAAGCCCACTTATCCCCTGTTTCCTAGAAATAGAGGGGTTTGGGTATCCCATCTCTTGGGGGCTTTCTGGTCTTGTGCTGTGGGTGTCAGCCAGCTCTTGAACAGATGCCCTAAGGATTCCACAGGGCTAACTGTACACAACTGGACCCATTCTTCTGGGGTCTAATTTTGGCGTGGGGCTAGATTCATGAAGCTGAGCTGAAGCCAATTCATGGCAGAGGATAGGTCCTAGGTTACCCAGGCACGCACTGGCACATGAACCTGCTCCTCCTCTGCCCACAGCCTCAGCCAGCCTTTCACCAAGATCCCTTTCCTAAGGAGGCCACTCCCATTTGCCCCTCTAAGGGGCATAGTTCTGTTTGCTGAGGAAGAGTTGGTGTCCCAGTAGGTCTCAGGGCCTCTAGGGCCTCTAGAGGCTCGGCCCAGACAGTATTTGCAGTTCTTTTGCTATGGGGTGGGAGTTTCCCTCTAGTTTGGCAGCTGTGCTGCCTCAGGATGGGCTGCTCCTTCCAGGGCTCAAGGGCTGTGGTCCGCTCAGGTTCTCACACTTCCCCAGGCCAAGCTTAAGGCAACAGCCTTCTGAGGCATTCCAGGCCCTGGGCCTGGAGGGAGACCTTTAAGCTTGTCTGCTTATAGGGACATTGGGCCCTGGGTGCAGGTGCCCAGATTCTGCTGATGGGAGCTTTGTGTGATTAATCCTGGGGTCTGTCAGTTTGTCCATTTGTCCTTCTGCCAGCCCCTTGTCTCATGGGGTGTCTTTCCCTGGGTATAGCCTTGCTCGTTAGTATATATCAAGTTCCCTCATGCTTTCCCTGCCAAAATATTCTCTTTCCCATTTCTGAGATGAGCTTTTGCCCCTGTGCTCTGCCTCATCAGGTGCACCTTTTTATGAAGACCTGGTAGCAGAAGGAATTGTTATGTGGTGTTTCCCTGCTGTCCCAGCCCCCTTCCTGTGGGTCTGGAGTGTAGCCTGTAACGTTTGACAATGGGGCAACGAAAACACAAGAGGTGACCCTGTCCCATGGTTTCAGTCATTTTTGCTGCCACCCTTTTAATGTCAGAGGCTTGCTGCCTGTAACAGGCATCCAGCAGGTTACACTACACTCAGTGTTGCCAAGGGTAGCACCCTCCCCTCTGAGCGTAGGGCCACTGTCATTATTGCTTGACATGTCCCTGATTTGGCATTAAAGGTAAGCCTGCCAGCCTTGTGTCTGTGAGAGCCATTGGTAATTGATGGACTAATTTCCCAGTTCTTAGAGATGCAGCCTCAAAAATGGGCTCCTTTATGGAGTCCAATCTCTTGGTTTTCTGACCCCGGTGCCAGTGGTGGGCAGGTTCCCATTGCTTGGAGCTGGGAGGTGAAGTTTTACCTGTCTGTGAGCAAAACAACTCTTCTCTCCTGTATCATTCTGCGGCTTCAGCCATGGGGCAGCAGCTCTTCTTTAGTGTAGATAGCCTTCCCTGGGAGAATAGAGGATAAGACAAAGGCTATGGGGCCGCTGGAGACTGCTTAGGGATGTACTGTGTCTCCCAGGTTCCCAGAGTCTAGGAGCAGATGCTGCCCCATTGCTGCTGCTCACAGCAAAAGGAGGCGGTACCCACTTACACTCAGTATCCTCCTGGCACTAAAAAGAGTAGAAGGGCTGGGATTCCTGCTTCTCCCCTAGGGAGGGGCCCTACTTTTCAGCACTTTTGATACCTGGAGACCCAGCCTTGTTAATCTGATGTGTGGTGGCAAATGTGTGTATATACACATTTTCTACCACTGTTCTTTCTCCTGTCCCAGGCTAGAGCCCAGTCCCTGCCTTCCCAGCCCCAAATTGGGACCAAAGTGCAACTCGGGATCATAGGTTGGGGAGCTCAGGTCACCCCTCTCTGTATATTTTGGGGCCAAGCTGACACCAGTCCCCTGGTGGTGGGGATCGGGGAGAGTGGCATTGGGCGGGTGGTGCTTAAAGAGGAAGGGGACCAGTGTAGCAATTTGCCGGGAACTCCACCTCTTCCTTTCTGGGCTAGTGCAATGCGTGCGGGGATCCCACCTAGGGGCCAGGGACCTGGGCTAGTTCCGTAGCTGTTGCTCACGCGCTCATACCTGGCCACGTGCATATTCCCTGGATGCAGATTGCTTTGGACTTTACTGCTGTACAATTTGGTATGTTTATGCCCATTTGAAAACTTCTAATGAGAAAAAAATACGGAGAACCCTGGGAAGGACCTGGTTCCTTTGCTTCTTGGGGGAGAATATAAGCTCTCACATTTGGGAAATCGCTCTCTGCTCCTCTGGAAGCTAAGCCTGTTCACCATTCCCGGTTCCCCACCCCCGCTGCCGGCCTGCGCCCAGGTAGTATATGTGGCTTTGGTCGGGTTTCGGCACAGTTGCGTTTTCTCCAGACCTTGAGTGTGGGGAGGAAGTGCTCAGGCCGAGCTCATCCCTTTCTGTACACCCAGCGCTGCCCGCCCCGCTTGTGTCTGAGGTCATTTATGTCAAAATAAAACCGCTAGAAACTGAAGTTTATTTGGGTCTTTTTGAAAATCCAACAACTTCCGGGTGGACCGGCCAAGTACAACTGACAGCCCCCCCCAACTTCATGGCTCCCCTTCCTTCCGCCCCACCTTGAGCCGGATCAGAGGGGGCGGGGCCCTGGGTAGCGAGGTGGAGCCGGAAGCGGCTGGCTCGCGGCAAACCAGGCTCCAGTAGCGAGCTAAGTCTAACCCTTGGCGCCAGTTCCGCCTTTGGATCTACCAATGGGCAGCTGACCCGCAGGTTCAGTCCCGGTCCCCATGGCAGCCTGGCGCGTTCGGGTTCTTATTGGCTACGTCCGCAGCAGCGCCGCGCCCAGAGCTGCGGCAACGGCGACCGTGCCACGTAGAACGCAGTGGATTGGCCTACTAGGATTACGTCACTGTCCGCGCCGGGTTCAGCCGGAGTTCCAGGCCAGCCGCCCTCCAACACGCGTCGTGTCCTGGGTTCTGGCGGCCGGGGTACGGGGTCCGGCATCCGGGCAGACTAGGAAGACGAGCCGGAACCAGAGTCGGTCAGTCTAGCTGGTAAAGGGTGCGTGCAGGGCACCGCGAAGGGAGTGCGCGACAGGGGTTGGCCAGGCGGGCTGCTGGCATCTCTGGAGTTTGGGAATCATTCCCGTCGTTCGCAGGCGCAATGAAGGCACTGATCTTGGTGGGCGGCTACGGGACGCGGCTGCGGCCGCTGACGCTGAGCACCCCGAAGCCACTGGTGGACTTCTGCAATAAGCCCATCTTGCTACACCAAGTGGAGGCGCTTGCAGCGGTAAGGCCCAGGGTCTGCCTGGCGGGAAGAGGGACAGATAGCTACTGGAAGTCAGGTGTGCTTGTACCTGCCAACCGAGCCCGTCTCGCGTCCTGCCTTATTCTGTCCGACAGGCAGGCGTAGACCACGTGATCCTGGCTGTGAGCTACATGTCACAGGTGCTGGAGAAGGAAATGAAGGCACAGGAGCAGAGGGTGAGGCACAGGCTCAGTCCTTTCCCCTCGTCTCCGTTCACCTTCTTATCCCAGAGGGCGAACCTGATGGGATGACTTCTTCCTTCCAGCTGGGAATCCGAATCTCAATGTCCCATGAAGAGGAGCCTTTGGGGACAGGTCAGTGGAGATATCGACAGACAGTTGAGTAGGGTTCAGGGCCAGAGAAGAGGTATGACCCAAACTGGATGGGGCCTTGCTGAGTCTGGATTCAGGGACTCTTTAAGACACCCAGCAAATTGGTGACCTGCCCCTTCCTCCAGCTGGGCCCTTGGCACTGGCCAGAGACCTGCTCTCTGAGACTGCAGACCCATTCTTCGTCCTCAACAGTGATGTCATCTGTGATTTTCCCTTCCAAGCCATGGTGCAGTTCCATCAGCACCATGGTCAGGAGGGCTCCATTCTGGTAAGGGACTAGGTCTTTCTTCTTTGACATTCCCATTCTCGGTGCCCAGTCTCCTGCCCCCCAGCCTTAGATTGTTTCATGTCACGAGTGCAGATCTGTGTAGTATGTTTTTAAGTGTTTAAAGCTGAGTCCTTGAGACCTGGGACAGCACGTGTATCAAAGCTCAGGAACCTGTGTTCAGGTGACCAAGGTGGAGGAGCCTTCCAAGTATGGAGTGGTGGTATGTGAAGCTGAAACGGGCCGCATTCACCGGTTTGTGGAGAAGCCGCAGGTGTTTGTGTCCAGCAAGATCAACGCAGGCATGTACATCCTGAGCCCTGCTGTGCTGCGGCGCATCAAGGTGCGTAGGAGCTGCTGGGTGGGCTGGGGTGGGGTAGGCCTCCTCTGCCATGACCCTGCTCACAAGCTGCCCACTCCCACAGCTGCAGCCTACGTCCATTGAGAAGGAGGTCTTCCCAGTTATGGCCAAGGAGGGGCAGCTATATGCCATGGAGCTGCAGGGTGAGGCAGGGAGGCCTCAGGGTGGGGGTGGTCTGTGGCTGGGCTGAGCCCCCTGATGCATCCCTCCCTACAGGCTTCTGGATGGACATTGGACAGCCCAAGGACTTCCTCACTGGCATGTGCCTCTTTCTGCAGTCACTGAGGCAGAAGCAACCAGAGAGACTATGCTCAGGCCCTGGCATTGTGGGCAACGTGCTTGTGGTGAGGCCCTTGCCCAGCCCATCACTTAATCCCCTTAGACTTGGGAGACAAATGGCCCACTTTTATTTTCCCCATCACTCAGGACCCAAGTGCCCGTATTGGCCAGAACTGCAGTATTGGCCCCAATGTGAGCCTGGGTCCTGGTGTGGTGGTGGAGGATGGTGTGTGCATACGGCGGTGCACAGTGCTGCGGGATGCCCACATCCGCTCCCACTCCTGGCTGGAGTCCTGCATTGTGGGCTGGCGCTGTCGTGTGGGCCAGTGGGTAAGTCTGAGGGCTGGGCCAGGTGGGGACAGGGGCAGGGAATATATCTGCCTCGCTGACAAGGCCTACCTTTTTTCCCTCCTTGAGGTGCGCATGGAGAATGTCACAGTGCTGGGTGAGGATGTCATAGTTAATGACGAGCTCTACCTCAATGGAGCCAGTGTGCTGCCCCACAAGTCTATTGGAGAATCTGTGCCGGAGCCTCGCATCATTATGTGAGAGAACTGTGGGGCTGGCTGAGCCCGTTTCTCCATCATCAAGGGGAGCACTGGTTTGACACATCAGAATGCCCTGGACTTGGTGCCATTTGTCTGGGGAGGACTGGATGAGGCTGAAGCTGTTGGACACCTGCCTTCTCATGGACATAAACTGGCAGGATCCCTGCTCGGCATACTCGACAAAATCCATTCCCTCAAGAAGGGCCAGGGGCCAGGGCTGTATGGAATAATAATTTAATGGTCACCATGGCCCAGACTAAAAGTCAAGCTCAGGCATAATTAGGGCTGTGGCTGAGCTCCCATCAATGAGGCTACACACAGGCAAGAAGGAAGTTGGATGTGATGTGGTGGTGCTGGGGGGACAGGGCCAAGGGAGCTCATAAATAGGGCTCAGCTTGGGTCTGGTTTTGAGGGTAGAGGTTCCAGGGTGATGCAAGCTTTGTGCATTAGGCTGGCCTAGGCAGCTGAGGTACTTGTATTGGATGCCTTGTCCCAGTCATCTACAGACACGATGGTGGCTTTGCAGAAGAAACAGTCCTTGTTGTTCATCAGGTGCTGGTTGATGCAGGCTCTACAACAGGGAGGGGATGAACACGGCCCTGTGTGTCCTTATGCCACCACCCCCCCCCAGCCCCCTACAAGTCCATGGGGCCCACTTACTTGCAAGACTTGTGGCCACAAGGCTGGAACACGGCAGAGATGGGGTGGGCATAACAGATTGGGCAGAGGTCATCCTCACTGGTGGGCTACAGGGAGGACAGCGGAGGGTGGGTTGGGCCTGGATACTTATGCCTCTATTGGTGTGTTACACATGTATTCATTCAAGTGACATGGACCTGGGCACTGTGATCCACTCACCAGGGATGCAGCTGCTGCCTGGGCAGATGCAGCAGTCAGGTGTGCCAGCATCTGTTCCACCTGGGCCAGCTCCTCAGCACTGATATAATCTGTATCTGGGTTAGTGGTAGGTGGTGTCAGGTCTCATGTGGCCCTAGAACCCAGTGCCTCTTGACTATTCCCAGCCTGGGAACTTGCTGTTCTCAAGAATTCGGAGCCCAGCCAGTCCCAGATCTCTTCCCTGACCCACCCCTGCCTCACTTACAGCTTTGCAGGGAGAAGCGCTTCCGGTCAGGGGCAGGCAGTGCAGTGCCAGGTGCTGGAGGCTCTGGCTGCCCCAGGAGATAGCATATAGAACGGAGCTGGAAGCAGGGATCAGCCAGAAGTACTGATGTGGCTCGCTCTGTCCTAAGTAGGGGAGGGCTCACAGGTAGTCAGAGGGTTTGGGGCCTGTCTGAAAGTAATCTGAGGGGAGGAATGTGACCATCCAGCCCTTACATTATTGCCCCCTCAGCCTTCCCATCTTCCTGCTGCTGATCCCTCCAATAAATCTCTGGTCCTAGTGAGGTCCTGCACAGCCCAGGGATCTGTTTAAAGCAGGTTCAGGAGTACCATGTCAAAAGCCTACCCACCCCATCATACAATCAAAATCACAAAGACTAGCAGCAGCATAAAGACATTCTCCCCAAGGTCTCCCTTTTACTCTGAAGACAATACTGCAGGCCAAAGGCGGTCTAAGACCTTGGAGATGGATTCGCACACCCTCTGGTGGCTACGCCAGGTCCTAGCGTGCCCAGGAGCGCAGCTGTCCCGCCCCTTGCAGCAGTAGCCAATGGGAGCTCAGGTCCCCACCCCCTTCGTGATCGTCCAGTGGCGAGTACTTAGAAGCCGACCTGGAAAGCGCACAGTGAAAGCTAGCGGAGCTGAAGGGGAGTAACGAGCGGCTCCACCTCACCAACGGGAACTGGAGAGCAGGGGGGACAGGAAAGCAGGAGCGACCGGCTGTGCAGAGCGGGGTCCACTTTGTGCTTCCCTAGCTATGGGCCATCCAGTGCCATGTACATCTTGCCCGAGCAGCTGTGGGTGAGTCCTTGAGTTGTGACCTGAATAGAGCTGCCCTACCTCAGGAGTCTCTGGTGGTTGCTGCTATGGCCAGGCTGGTGCCACTGGGTGCACTGCTGTGCATGCTGCGCGTCGGGCTAGGCACCTTGGAGTCTGAGGGCTTCCCGCCCCCTACACCCCACAACTGCCCCAGTGAATGCATCTGTGCGGCCGACGTGCTGAGCTGTGCTGGCCTCGGGTTACGGGATGTTCCAGCCATGTTACCTGCCGCAGTTACGGATCTCGACCTGAGCCACAACGCATTCCAGCGCCTGCAACCTGGCTGGTTGGTGCCCCACTCCCGGCTGCGCGCCCTGCACCTAAGTCACAACAAACTAGACATGTTGGGTCATGGTATCTTCACCAATGCCAGCGGCCTGAGGCTGCTTGATCTATCATCTAATGCACTGCAGGCGCTTGGAAGCCACGACCTTGACGGGTTGGGGGCCCTGGAGAGGCTGCTTCTGTTCAATAACTGCCTGGTGCGCTTAGACATGCACGCCTTCCATGGCCTGGGCATGCTCAGTCGCCTTTATCTGGGCTCCAATAAACTCGCATCTTTTTCTTTTGACAACCTGCATGGTCTGGGTGCAGCCCACCTGCGTACTCTGGACCTCTCCTCCAACCAGCTGGGTCACATCTCTGTCCCTGAGCTGGCCTCATTGCCAGTATTCCTGAAGAATGGTCTCTACTTGCACAACAACCCACTGCCCTGCGACTGCCACCTCTATCACCTGCTGTGGCGCTGGCACCAGCGCGGCTTAAGCGCTGTACGTGACTTTGCTCGTGAGTACACGTGCTTGGCCTTTAAGGTACAGGCATCCCGCGTGCGCTTCTTTGAGCACAGCCGGGTCTTCGAGAACTGCTCAGCTGCTGCAGCTCTTGGCCTGGAGCGGCCAGAAGAGCAGCTGCACACACAGGTGGGCCAGTCCCTTAGGCTCTACTGCAACACCAGTGCCCCTGCCATGCGTATTGTCTGGGTTTCACCACAGAATGAGCTACTTGCGGCACCAGGATCAAGCGATGGTAGCATTGCAGTGCTGCCCGATGGCAGCTTAGCCATAGGCAAAGTACAGCAGCAGCACGCAGGCATCTTTGTGTGCCTGGCTACTGGGCCCCGCCTGCACCACAACCAGACGCTTGAGTACAACGTGAGTGTGCACTTCCCGCGCCCAGAGCCTGAGGCTTTCAACACTGGCTTCACCACACTGCTGGGCTGCGGTGTGGGCCTGGTACTTGTGCTGCTCTACTTATTTGCGCCACCCTGCCATGGCTGCTGCCGCTGCTGCTGCTGCTGCTGCCGCCGCACCTGCCGCAACCACCACTGGCCACGACCACCCAGCCCACTCCAGGAGCTGAGTGCACAGTCCTCAGTGCTCAGTGCTACACCACCAGATGCGCCCAGCCGCAAGGCCAGTGTCCACAAGCACGTGGTCTTCCTGGAGCCAGGCAGAAGAGGCCTCAATGGACGTGCGCAGTTGGCTGTAGCTGAGAACTTTGATCTCTGCAATCCTGTGGGCCTGCCATTCCAGGCTGGCCCTAAGTCTGCCAGCTCCACCAGCTCAGAAGGTCTCATGATGACCTAGGCTACCTGGGCCCCCACCTAGGTGATGGCCCTTCTGCTACTTGCCCTGCTCCCTGCTGCAGTCCAGAGAACTGGCAGGTGCTGTGTGGGCCTTGACTTGAACCATAATGGCCCTACTCAACTGGTAGAGGGGTTGGGATCCCCAACTTGCCTCCTGCTCTGCCAAGTAGTACAGGACTTCAAAGCCCCAGACCTTAGCAGAGACTGCTAGAGCCTGTTTTCCCTAGGCCCTCTTAATGCCCACATGTCCTATAAGAACTGGGGACAAAGCCTATCTAGTAAGAGCCCTGGCACCACCTTCAGGCCAAGGCAGATGTTAAAGAGTAGAAGAGTGGAGGCACACCACCTTCTCCTTTCCCTCAGGGAGCAGGCCCACTGGGAAAAGGGAGGAGGGTTATTTGCAGCCTCCTCCCAATCAGGAGGAAACAAGCCCTCTGGTGAAACAGGAACCCCCTCCCTCACCATCCAGCCTGAAAGCTCCACAACTTCATGTGTAGTCTGATTAGGAGGCATTAGGTAGACACTCAGAGAGACCCTAGAGAGCCTGGCCTGACCCCCAGGGCTTGGCCCTGCTCTCTCCAGCTAGGGCATCCAGCAGTTGCTCTAAAGGCAAAGCAGCAAAAAGTCTGGTGAGCATGGCTAAACTGGGATGGCCCAGCTGAAATGCGATTATCCCTGGAGAGCAGTTGTCTCTTAAGGACTTGTACTGTTCTCAGCCTAATAGCTGAGGCATTGCCCTGGCTTCACATGCATCTCCCCATTCCCACTGCAGGGAAGCACGGAAGAGGATCTGGGAGCCCAAGGTGTATGGGCTGAGTTGGGGTCCCCATGGCTGTCCTAGATTATGCTGTTATGGAATTTCATAATAAAGGCAGTACATGCTCATTGTTGGAGCCTTGTCAAACACAAGTAGCATTCTGGCTCTTGATCCAGCAGTGTTGCCCTAGCCATCACAGGATGATACACCTCCCTGGCTCTTGGTCCCCCACTTGAGTCACAGTCACAAACCCTGTCCTGCTGGGATCCCTGATACTCCAACCCAGAGAAGTTGCCACTGGCACTGTTTAGGCAGTTCACACTTCACCCCCTCTCCTCTGCCTCAAAGCCTGATATTGAAGTCTGTCTGTGAGATGAGAAAACTATGGTACAGGGAACAGGGAAGCCCTGCCCAGCCCTTCCTCAAAGGGCACGCCCAGCTCCCATGGGGGCCAGCAGTGCTCAACACTCACTCTGAGGCTGGACCATGTACTAGAAGCTGCACCAGGATGCCTGTCACTGCAACCAGGATGGGGTAGTGGTCCACACTCTCCAGGCCTAAGGGGAGGGAAGGAAAATGAATACCCACATGCTTCCATGGCAAGGGCTCCAGGCCTAACTGATACCATCAGTCTTTCCCACTGTCCTTCCTACAGAAGGTCAAGCTGAGGCTGGGGGGTGCTAACCCTGGCCATTCTAGTGCAGAACGGAGAATCAGGCATCACTGCTCTTGGCACAAGAGCCAAGGCCTTTGGTGTGCTGAGGTACACAGGGCATCTAGATCCTTACCAGGTAGCCGTAGGGTGACCACACGGTCAAAGAGGTTCCTTTCAGCTGTTACCCGGTTCAGCACCTGGTTCAGCAACTGTAAGGGCAGTAGCCTGTTGGTGGATGGGCGAGCTCAACACTGGAGCATCCCCAGAGTCCCACCTTCCTTGACCAGATGGACACACCTGTGCAAGACGCCGCAGCAGCATCTCAGAGGTAGGCTGGGACCAGTCAAGGAATATCTCAGGCACCAGAGTGATAGTCATTTCCAAGACACGCAGCAGGCTAACCGAGAGGTCAAAGCAGGTGGCACACACCTTGAGCTGTCGGCTGTCCACAAAGTTCCGCTCCAGCCGTTCAGCAGCCTGCTGAATCTGAGCCACCAGCAGTAGTCAGAGAGGCCTGGTTACATCTCAGGACCATCCTGTGGCCCCTGCACCACCTTAACCCACCAGGTTCACCATGACCCACCTCCTGGATCATGCCGATGAACTCAGAGAAGGCCCAGTTGAGTTGGTTGAGGACGCTGTTGAGGAAGCTGGGTGCCACATCGGGACCCTGCCGCAGCAGGTCTGCCATATGCTGCTGCAGCAGGGTGGAGGGGCAGGGCTCTGCAGGGACACAAAGAGGCAGCATTATCAGGGACTCCCAGACAGTAGCTCTGCCTCTTTACCCTGTCCTCATTCCTTGGGTCACTGATACAAGAACAGAAAGATGGCTCCCTGGGAACAGTCAGGTCATGAAGGCTCAGGTAGGGGATATCTGTGAGTTAGGGCTAAATCTGTCCCCTCCCTCTGCTGGTAAAAGCCATAGGCTGCAGGTGTTTCCAGCCTTACCACCCCTCTCCTGCCACTTCCATAGGCCTAGAACAGCCACACAGCTGCAGCCTGACCCCAGCAAGTTCTAAGTCACATACCTGTCAGGCAGGGTCAGACACAGGGTGACTTAGATCTTCACTAGTGTCAAGGCCAACTTCTCTAAGAGCCTAGTCTGAGCACTGCTGTCCTCTACTGTCCTCTGCTGCCCTTGGCAAATGGCCTGAGTGATGGGTGCCAAGTCTGGGTTGGCAGGCAGTAGTAACCAGAGCTCTCAGCCTCAGCTGGCCCGACAGCCCTCTGGTGCAGATCAATAGTTCCTGCAGCCATAGGATGTATCTGGCCTCACTTCCCCTATCCACTTGCAACTCAGTTCCGCCCTAGAGGCAGGACAGAAGCATTTGGCAAGGAATTGCTGTGTGACTCTGCCCAAGGTACTCAGCCTCTCTGGGGACACTTGAGACAAAAACACTGCCTACAAGGGCAAAACAGTATGTGCACATTTTGAGTTCTGTGTGACAGGCTCTCTGTAAGCTGCAAGCTCCAGGCGTTGGGCCAGGCCTAGGTGAAGGTCTTCAGACTCAAAAGACTTCGCTGGGCAAAGCAAGGAGAGAGCACAACCTCTGCTCCCAACCAAATGCTTGTTACTCTAGGAAGTCCCAAGAGTGTCCTCTGGGAGCCAACTTCCACCCTGCAGCCCTCTCAACTCAGGGGTCCAAGACCTAAGCCAAGCCCTGGGTCTGGCTCAGCAGATAAGGGAGAAAGATAATACGCTGGGATTAGGCTGGAGGTCAGGAAACTGGTACAGAAAGCAAGGGACAGTATCTAACCCACATGAGCTTTCAGCAGGTTGGGAATGTATGGTCCCTTTTCACTGACCCCTGCAGACTGACAGGCCCAAAGAGTAAATGTGGAACTGTGGAGTGAGAGGGAGTAGTGACAGAGAATCCCTGAGTTGGGAGGAAGTCAGGAAAATGGAAACCAAAGGGGACAGGTAAGGAGTCTGGAACCAGGCACAGATCCAGGAGGAGCAGGAGAGTCTGAAAGAACCCAAGAACAGCAGACAAGGACCAGCAGATCGTGCTAACTGGGCTGTTGCCAGGACTGGCCCAACCTGGATACTCACTCTGGAGGCTGGGCAAATTGGCATCCTCTGGTTTGGTTTTCAGCAGATGTGGCAACCGTGTATAGCGGTACCCAAATCCACAGCCCTGGAAGTGTGGACAGCAGGAGTCAGTGGGGCAGGGCATCTTTCTGTCCAGCTGGCCTCAGCCATTCCCCTCAGGTCAGGCTTACCCTCCAAAGCCGCACCAGGATCCAGTTGGTCTGGGCCCAAGGCCGTTGCTCATAGGGTGCCAGGAGGTTCCTCACCATGGCAATACGCCTGCAAGGGTGAGGGGTGGTAAACACAGGGGGAAGCTTGGCATGGTACTATGCAAAGCAAAGTGTGTGCCCCCGCCCCCCTGCCACATCCCATTCCCTACTCACTGCTCCTCAGGGATCCGCTCCACAGCCCTCAGGGAGTGTGGGTAGCACACGTAGCTGGCTAAGGCCTGCATCAGTGAGTCTCGAATGTCTGTGGGAATAGGCTATGCTTCAGCAGGTGCCTGGTGTAAGCCCTAGCCCTATGCCTCACACCATCTGGTCACAATTTACATAAAAACAGCCTGCCAAATATGCCATCCCATCCCCATTGCCCTGGGCCCTCTGTAGGGTAACTTACCAGTGCCCACAATGCGTGTGTCAGCAAAGTGTTTGGCTAGGATGGCGGCCAGACGGGTCAGGGTCTCTTCATAGCCTGCAAAGGTGGACAGTGAGAACTGATGACTGGGAATGGGACTTTAGGGGCAGGTACATTCCTTGATGGGGAAGGAGGGTGTGGCTTGGTTAACTGGCCCAGAACTGGCTCCAAGGGCCATGCAGGAATCGTGCTGGTATCTGGCAACACTGGGCAAGGCATTCACTGGCATTTGGGGAAGAGCTAATTCACACACTCACTGTGGGGGATAGGTAGGTCCTGGCAAGAACCCTGACAAGGGCTCTAACCTATTTTGGCAAACAATGACTCAGTAGTCAAACACACTAGTCCCTGTAGCTCTGGCTTTAAAGACAAAGCCGCACAGAGGCCTGGGGCAGGGCAGGATAGGAGCAGGACAGGGCAAGGGCCTGCCAGCTCACAGCCTGATCCAGACATCTACTGCCAGGCCCAACCTGCCCCTGACCCACTGCCACTCTCCGTGACAAGTGCCATGGTGGCAGGATGAGGGCCAGCTGGCAGGACCACGGCAGCTGTTCAGCAGCATCAGGGAAGAAACAAAGGTCAGGGGTCCCCACCCATCTGCTCTACTCTCAAGACCAGGGAAGAGTTGCTCCATCTGTGGCTACAGACATAAGGGCAGAGCAAAGACTTGCTTGATGCCACAGGGCCAAAAATCAGAGCTCCTGGGTTCACACTAAAGGACTCTTTCCTGCCCCCTCTCATTCTGAATGGTCATATCACCTGGCAGCTCCTCCATGCTATGCACAGGGCCAAAATAATTCTTGAGAGCACTGTAGCTGTTGATGGCCACACTCAGGTAGAACTCAGGCATGAAGGCAAAGAGAGATCCCGTGCGATCCCCATGCTCAATGGTCCGCAGGCAGACACGCAATAGCCAGTAGATGTCTAGCATTTTCTCCTGCAGAAGGCATACAAGGCATTGCTGGACTGTTCACTGGTCACTGGTCACAGGGACATGATCTGGTCTGGGGATCAGAAAGGCCTTCCCAGGACAGTGACATCAGGACTGAGACTTGGATTCCAGGAAGTCTGAGGAGTAGTTCAAGCAGGGGCATGTTGAGCCTGGAGAGGGCAGTACTGTGACCCAGACCAGGACTCACGTTTGCAAGAGGCTGATGATATGAGCAGAAGTCTGTGTAGGAACACTGCCCAGTACAGAAGGGGCTACAGGGACAAGTCGGGACAAGACAGTGAGGAAGCCATAGCTCATTCAGACCCAAGATGGCAGACAAAAGACAAAAGGACTGGATGGCTAGGACAGGATGTACTGTTGGCAAGGGAAAGGTCATAGTAAGAATGGGGCCCATTTTTCTGGAAGTGGTAGAGCCTCCACAGAGATCAAAAGTACTAGAGAAGGGCCAGATGCCATGGCTCATGGCTGTATTCCTAGCTACCTGGAAGGCAGAGATCAGGAGGATCAGTTTGAGGCCAGCCTGGGCAAAAAGTTAGTAAGACCCCATCTCAACAAATAAGCCAAGTGTGGTAGTGTTTGCCTGTCATTCCAGCTACATGGGAGGTTGTAGATAGGAGGAAAGCAGTTGGAGGCTGGCCCTGGGTAAAAACTAAACCCTATCTGAAAAATAACCTAAAGCAAAAAGGGTTATAGGTGTGGCTTAAGTGATAAAGAGCTTGACTAACAAGTGCAAGGCCCTGAGTTCAACCCTCCAGTGCTTGGGGGGTGGGGAAGTACTAGAGAAGCAGGTCTGGTGTAGGGAAGAGGAAGTGTGAAGGAGTAGGTAAATTTTGGTTTGGAGCTCAAAGAAGCTGATAGCAAAGTGGCAGGCAGCATGACTGCTGGTGGAAGAAAGGCCACAGAAAACAGGTGAAACCTGCTCAGAGTCCTGTTCCCCACAGTGTGGTTCCCAGAGAGGAACATGTCAGGTTCATGAAAAGAGTCACAAAACAGAATGAAGCCTCAGGCCCCAGTTCAAACCCATGGCACACATGCTCTCTGGGTGGTCCACAGTATTAGCACTTCACACCAGCTCTCCAAGGTGTTTCAAAACTCAAGGAATGGAGAAGATATAAGCAAGGGGCTAGAGGGGTGGGCCTGAGTCCACACATGGGCAGTGGACATCCTGCTGCCACAGAAGGTCAGGGAGGTTTGAGTCTTAGGTAGAGATGACAATGGTACCAATGTTGCCAAGGGGCCAGCTGATGGAAATGGCTATGTGCCAGCATGTGTGTAGAGTTGGGGCAGACTCTACAGAGACTTGGCAGGACTATCTTGGAGCGGAAGAGCCTGAGCTGGAAGAAAATGAGGCAGCTAAGACACAGAAGGAAAGAAGAAGCTGTAGGCAGCTATAGAGTCTAGGAAAGGCCTTATACACTTTTTCCTTTAATAATGTCTCAAAGCAGACAAGTGAGTGACTGCTGAAGATACAGAGGAAAAGAAGAAAGTTCAATATAATAAAGGGTATGTTGAGATGCCCACATCTAACATCACACTCAGTAGCAAAAGCTTGGAAAGATTCTTTCTCTAAGACCAAGAAAAAGACAAGGATGCCTACTTTTGCCACTTCTGTTCAACATACTATTGGGATTCTTAGCCAGAACAAATTAGGAAGGAAAAAGAAATAAAAGGCATCTAAATTGGAAAGGAAGCAGTAAACTCATCTGTTTGCAAACATAACCTCACATGTAGCAAACCCTAAAGGTTACACACAAAAACTCAGAATAAAAAATTCTACAAACTTGCCTGATGTAAAATCAACACACAAAAATCAATTGTGTTTCTCTTACACTAACAATGAACAATCCCAAGAGGAAACCAAAAAAACAATTCCATTTACAAAAGCATTAAAAAGAAAAAAATACTTAGGAATAAACATAACCAAGAAGGCAAAAAATTTGAAGCTATACTGAAAGCTACAAAATGTCGCTGAAAAAAATGAAGAATCTAAATAGGTACTCTGTGTTTGTGTACTGTTAGCTTAATGTTGATAAGATGTCAATACTACCCAAAGGAATTTACCAATTCAATGCAATACCTACTGAAAACTCAGTATTTTTTTTGCAGAAATAGAAAAACCCATTTAGAGGCTGGTGGTGTGGCTCAAGTGGTAGTGCACTGGCCCAGCAAAAGTTCAGAAATTCATATGGAATCTCAAAGAACCTTGACTAGTCAAAACACTACAGAAAAAACAAAGTTGGAGGTCTCACACTTCCTGATCTCAAAACTTACTGCAATTAAAAAGAAAAGTAATCAAAATAGTATGATACTGGCATAGACCGATGGCATGGAATAAAGGAGCCCAGAAATAATCCTTCACATAAGTTACAGGTCAATGGGTCAACCGATTTTTGACAAGAGGGCCAAGACCATTTAATGAGAAAGGCCAGTTTTTTCAACCAATGGCATGGCACTAGGAATACTGGATAGTCACATGCAAAAGAATGAAATTGCAGCATTGCTTTATGCTACATAAAAATTAACACAAAATGGATCAAAACTGTAAACATAAGACTTAAAAATACAAAACTCATGCTGGGCACTGGTGGCTCACACCTGTAATCCTAGCTACTCAGGAGGCAGAGATAAGGAGGACTGTGGTTCGAAGCCAGCCCAGGCAAATAGTTCATGAGATCCTATCTCAAAAATACCCAACACAAAACAGGGATGGGGACATGGCTCAAGTGGTACAGTGCCTGCCTAGCAAGCATGAGGCCCTGAATTCAAACCCCAGTACTGGCAAAACAAACAAACAAAACTCTTAAAAGAAAACAGAGAAGGGCTAGCTCAGTAGAAGAGACTTGCCTAGCATGTGCAAGGTCCTAGGTTCAATTCCCAACACTGAAAAGAAAGAGGAGAAATAGAAAAGGGATGGGGAGAAAGAAAGAGAAAGGGAGGGAAGAAGGAAGAGAGAGAGAGAGAGAGAGAGAGAAGAAAAAGAAAGAAAGAAAAACTTAGAGGAGGAGGGGAAAAAAAGAAGGCAGAGAGGTGAGAGGCAATGGTTCTAAGAAGATGGTGTGGGAGAGTACAGCTAGATTGTCTAAGGAGGCGAGCAGGTGCAAAACTCTGATGGTGGGAAGGAAATTTCCCGGCATGAGAGTCTTTAGGGTCCCGAAGACAAGGTAATCTGTGGCAGCAAAAGAGGAAGGAGTAAGAGGTGGGTGTGGTTTAGGTTTAGGGAAGGAGCCACCAGGAGAAACACCAAGGAGAGATGGCAGGATGGAGATGGGGACACCAAGAACCTAGTCGCCCAGTTCTGGGGAAAGGGCAAGCCTCAAAAGATAGCAGACGCCCTAACATGGACACCTGGTGACAGACTCAGGGCACCAGTGGTAGGAAGGAGCTATCAGGAGAGATAGGGAGAGGAAACTAATCAGGAGGGACTGAGGCCTGGTGTCAAACTAGAGTCCCAGAGGGAGTGCTCCATCCATCCCTTTATGTACTCCCTGGGCTGAGTATCCTGGGAGGGCAGAGGATTCTCTTTCTGGCTCCCTGCTGTGTGTTTTGAGAACCTGGGATGGAACCTGGCATACTCCAGCCTTTGGGTACATGTTATTGAATGAGCGAGCAAATGAAGGAGAGTAAACAGGAAACCGGCCAGCAGCCTCAAAGGTAGAGGTGAGTCAGCTAGAAGTAGGTGTAGAGAGGGTAAGGCAAGGGAGGGCCACAGAGCCCTGGATGTGCTGGGAGAGGCAGAGAGGTCAAGGACTTAGAGGAGGAGCAGGAAGAAGAGGCAGGTAGATACAGACCTTGTTCACCAAACGATGGATTGGTGAGCTGGAGGCATACTGGGGGTCTAGAAGAGGGAGTCTCAAGGTGGGGAAGGGGCCTCTGTGTGCCAGAGGTCTAAGAGGGTGGGGGGTATCCAGGGTCTTGACACAAACCTGGCTAACACATGGCCAGCCAATGAGACAGTGATTTGGGTTGGAGAATTGCAGTTAAGGCCACCTACTCACCTGGGAGTAGACAGTGGCATGGACCCAGGCAAGACGGCGGCTCAGGTGGTCCAGCTTTTCTGAGAAAACTTTCTGGCTCTTGGTCAACTCTGCAAGGATATCTTTTCTCTGTCACCCAAGGGGGAAGAAGGATAATCAGGACACAGTCTTATGCCTGGGTACTCTCCCCAGGCAGCCTGGTAGGGGTCCTACTAGTGCAGGGAACAAGGGATTGGGTTCCATTTTCAAAACTCTCGCCTGCCACTGGTAACTGGCTGTGACCCTGAGCAAATCCCAGAATAGGGCCATGGTTGTCCTTAGCATATGGAAGTGAGGCCCAGCTGGGGCTCTGTGAGCCACAGTTGCAGCTGGCCAGATCCAGGGCTCTGGTGATAGTGGGGGCAGGGAGAGCTAACAGGGAAGCCCAGCAAGCACAGCAGAGGGTCTCCAGGGGGTAAAGAAGCCAAGCTCTGCTTCCTGCTGACTCTGCAAATGGCCAAGAAAGCACTCAGGGTCCATCCATAATTGATGAAGACAGTGGGTGTACGTTAGCACTTAGTGGGCTGGCATAGGCTGCAGCTGGTTGATGGGGCTCAGACTGTGGCAGGTCCCACTGCCAGCCTTGCTCTCACTGCTGTGATACAGTCACAGCAGGGGCAGGGACAAGAACTGCTATGGCAACCCCAGAACAAGATTTCCTTTGTGGAGTACCCTGAGGACTCCAAGTAAGAAAACTGCCCCTGTGCAACACCTTATATCCCCAGACCTGTCTGCCTGCCCAGGCCTTACCCGTTTGGGGCACCTGCGGAGCTTGTCCTCCGTGTCCCTCAGAGCCATCGCGTACTCACTGACATCATCGGACACACCCACCATCTAGAACATTAGACATCACATATCCAGGGTGACCCGTGGATACCTCACTTAGGCTTTCTCAGATGCACTCTGGACCTGGACACTGCCAAGTCCCCAACCTTAGGTCCAAGGTAACCTCCTCCCACAAAAATAAAAACAGATCAGGGCTTAGCAGCAGAAACTTATCTTTCTGTGTGATGTGCTTATGTGCACACATGCATCCAACTACGGAGAATACCCTTTACCCAATGTGCATAGACCAACAGTGCAAGACCTTGCCCAGCTGCTGGTGGACGCTGAGATTATACATCATGATGGTGCCATCCAGGACTTCCAGCAGTGAGTTCTCGGTGAGGAGCTGCTCAGGTTCCTCAGGGGGCCGCCCCAGCAGCAGGCCCTCATTCCAGTGGCTTCCCTCAACTGAGGAGTAGGATGGGCAGGGTCAGAGCTGGGCCATCCTGGTTCTTTCCTAAGCCTGTGCTTGTATGGGCTTCACAGCAAGAGAGGGAATCCTTTCTCCCTTCCCTGCCCAAGGAGTGTATTACAGGGAGAACAGGGAGAGAGGGGTGCTGGGCAAGACCCTGCAGTGCCAGGGTCTATTTCTGTAGCATTGATTTCCTGCCTTCAAATTGCACTTCTTGTGCCCTTGGGATGAGGCCAGGCCATAGGGCTAAGAGGTGGGGAATACATGTTTGGGCTTTGCCCAAGGTGTGTGGGGGGGGGGGGCGGGTTGTGTGCACAGTAGAAAGGTCCATCAACAGCCCCGCCTGCCACCTACTGTCCTCACGAGTCCTCTGCTCCACACTGAGTGTGCGGACCTTCACTTTATCCGAGGTGCTCAGAGGCCGCCGTGGGGTCATGAGGCTCACGGCTGCTGTGCTGAGGAAGCGGTTTGCTCGGCCCAGGGTTGGAGAACTGAGCCAGCCAGGCCGGGGCAGAGGTAGTGCCCCTCCAATGGCTAGGGCCTGCATGGGGCGCTGTGGGGGAGAAAAGAGGCCAGAAGCTACTTAGCTGCCCAGGACCAGGGATGCAAAGGGCTTCCTTGATCCATGGGACAAGGGAATGGCCAAGGAGGGTTCATGCCACCACCCACAGCAAGGGAACCTGCCTGGTGAGAAGGCTCTGTCTGCGTGGAGGGGAGACGACCTTGTGCAATACCCCTGCTCACATGATAAAGGAAAAGCCTAACATAAAGCCCCCACCCCCACCTAATTCTACTGCCACACCTGGGCTGCTGCTGGGGCTGGCTCCTCATCCTCATCCAGGTCATCCATGGTGGCCGCCTGGAGTTCCATTGGGTCAATCACAATGTTGGCTTTGGAAGCAAGGTCATCTGGGAGGAATGGCAGGATAGGAGGATCCCCAGACCAGTGGCAAAGAGAGAGGCCATGGGTGGAACTGTCCAGGACAGTGAGAGAGCACCAGCAGGCCGGGCAGGAGGCCTTAGAGGGCCTCCCCCTAGCCCCTCCTCTTACTCCAAAACAGCCTTCTCTCTGCATACCAACAGCCCCTCATCTAGCAGCAACTTAGCACACATCATCACACTCTTCCTGTCTGTTACATTTGTTTCCTGTGATTCTCCAGAGCTTCCCTACTCTCTGACTCTCTCTTCCCTACTCTCTTTTGTCCATAGACAAAAGGAGGTCTAAGGCTGCCTTGGCTTCTGCTTGCCTTACTTTGTACCCCCATCCCCCACATAAGCTCCTCTTCCCCTCTAGCTGACAGAACCATCTGCCCCGAGCCTTGCTCCTGACTGGTTCCCTGGGCACTAAATTTGTCATCTCATCCTCCTTCTTTAGTCCTTTTCCTGATAGCACGGCACTTCAGTCACCCTCAACTCCTCCCTTTCACCCATTCTCTCCTCCCCCTACCTAACTGGTACAGGCCCTTATCTTCCACTGTCTGGACAACTGTCCCCTTTCTCTCTGTTGTCCACCTTGCAGCAGCCAGAGGGAAGCTTCCTATAGTTCAGACCCACCCTCACTTTGTCCAGGCCTTCCAAAGCAGCCTCTGGAATGAGACTACCAGCTGTGTGGCCTGCCAGGGTCTCACATTTGCCTCCTTTCACACCGCTCCCCGATTCACATTTTGTTCCCCAGCACAAACTTCTCTGTCTTCAGGCCATTCTGGGATGTTTCTGGCTTCCTCGTCTTTGGGTATGCAGTGCCCTCAGCCCTTTGTACTGGGGCAACCTGTGCCCATCCCTGAAGGCAGTTAAGGCAGCACCCAAACACCTCCATGTTGAGATCTCACAATCCCATCAGCGCACTTGCCCTTATTTCATCAGTGTGCTCCCAGCCTTCCTTTGGGGTAGGTGCCCAGGGAAAAAGATAGCTGTTTGGACCCAAGACAAGAGGCAGCATGACAGGTCAACAGCTCCCTCTCTGAGTGAATAGAGGGACTTGGGCGCCCTCTGGTGGACACACAATGGCTCATCATCCACAGAGAGCACGCTCAGGGACTGGTCTACCCAGTCAGGCCCACTTATCACCCACCGGCTTGCATGTACCTTTGAGGGTCTTGCGAAGGTGTGAAAGGAGGCCCCCAAGGCGCTGCAGGTCGAAGTAGTCCACTTTGCCATTATAGAAGATCTGAGGTGGGATGTATGCCTCTGCGACGAAATGGAGAGGCTGGGCCAGCAATTGGGGCTCAGAAAGAGGATCCTCCCCAGAGAGTGCCCTCTACTATGGCCTAGCAGAGCCAGGGACTTCTGACCTTGGCCATTCACTGGCCCAGGCCTCCCTGCCTCTCTTACCCCTTTGCCATTTCAGGTTAGTGCCAACATTGGATAACTTGAAGGGGGCATTCTGAGCAGTTGGTCACTCAAGGGGGAAGTGAAGGGCCACAGCCCTGTGGGATATTACCCAATCCAGGGTGGGTAAGGATTCCTTCTGTCCAAACACAGGGCCCATCAATACCCATCCAAGGCAGCTCTACAAAGGACTGCACAGAGATCTGGGTGAGTTGAGACTAAGGAAAAGAGCTAAAAGTGGGCAGGTGCTTATGGGGATGGTCAGAGCAAACATGGACTCAGTGGTCCTGGAGTACAAGACTCCTACTGCTCCAAGTGGAGAAGCTGCCTATGGGTAAGAGGGGACTCAACTAGGCAAGAGACTGGAGACAATTCCCAACCCCTACCCCCAGATCAGCAGTCCACACCAACACCAAGGACTACCCTAGACCTGCCTCTGTCCAGCCTTGCTAACCTAGGACCTGGTGCCACTTACCCTCGCTGAAGGAAGCACGGGGGTTGGAAGCCTTGTATTCATCCCAATAGAAGCGCAGAGCAGAGATCAGCCGGTGCAAGAAGCAGACCATGTACTCAGGGGGGCAGAGCATTGGCATGTTCTATAGGCACAGGGAACAAAACATGCATTGGTGTTAGCCCAGAGCCCAGCCCATTCCTCATCTAAGGCCCTGCCCCAGGATCCTGGCTTGGGCAAGGAAGGAAAGGCAGCAGAGAATGGATCAGGGAAAGGCAGGCATATAAGGAAGGCTGAGAGGTGCCAGAAACCCAGAGCATAGCCCCTGCAACATAGCCAGGAATCCACAGTGGCTGCCTGGAGGATACCTACCCCCCGGCCACTGGCGTTCTCCTGCAGAAACTTTCGGAACTTAGTCAAGAAGATATACCTAGAAGCTTCACCCTTCAAGGCAGGAAAAAATGAGGCTGTGGTGAGCTGGACAAGCTTTGACTGGACAAGCTCAATGCCGCAACTCACCCTACCCTACCAAGGAAATATGTGCTAGTCCCTGCCAAAACATCACCCCTCCCAGCCAAGGACCCACACAAGGGTCTTGGTGTCACTCACCCCATTATCATCCTTATTGTCCAACAGCAGCTTCAGAATCTGGACCTGTAGTTCTTCCACCACTGGGAGTGAGGTGGGGAACACAGTCCTCAGGCTCCCAGGATGGGAGAGGGTAGAGGTTTGTGTCAGGCCTCCACCACCAGGGTTACCCAAGCCCAACCTAGGTGTGGTCAGTACCAATGTCCCCAAGTATATATGCACAAATCCCCACCCCCCCTGAGGTGAGGGTGCTAACCTTCAATGCGCTTTTTGAGCCTCTGGCAGCCCCGTTCATAGGCCCGCCGCCGTTGACGCTCCTCAGTGGTTTCCTCCTTCACTTCCTTACTTTCTCTGCCCTAGGAAGGGAGAGAATAGAAGATAGCAGAGTTTACCAGGGCCTTACCCAAGCCTACTTCAGACAAGATTCCCACCCCCAGAACTCCAAGGACCAGAGCTGGGGAAGAGGCCTATATGCTATGTGCCAGGTGGCTCAGGAACCCTGTGCCAGCCCTCACTGCCAACTCCCACCCCACTAAGAGACGGCCCACCTCCCTGCTGGAGCGATGGGGCCACCAGGTGGTAGGAATGAGTTCATGCAGGCCAGCCTCCTCCACCCGCAGGGGGCTCTTGATGTAAAAGAAGACAACAGATCGGAGCATGTCGAAGCTGGTGGCTGTCAAGGCAGGAATCAGCTCACAAAAGGGCAACCTGCACACCCTCATGAGTCCTCCCTGGAAAGCCCACCCCAGATCTCCCACCACCAAAGGTGCCACAGTCACTATTTGTTTTCCCAGACCTTGAGTCTCAAGAAAAACCTATAGCAATCAAGCCCAGCAAGCCCAAAACACAGCAGGTGTGTGATAAAGTTTTGTCATAGGAACAGGTGATTGTGAGATGGACTGTGGAGAGGGCCTCGTGGCCTCTTCCCAGGCCCCCTAGCTCTGGCCCTTCTGACTCCCAGCTTTGTTTCTGATTGCTGGAAGCTGGAAGAACCTAGACCAAGGAGACAGCTAAAGCTCAGGCTTCCCAGACACAGGCCCAAAATCTAGCCTCTTCCTTTTCCTCAGCAGCTCCTCACACTGGAGAAGCAGGAAGAGCCGTCTCCTGGAACCCCACTATGGAACCTCATTGTGAAACACAGGCAAAAGTGGAGGCTACAGCTGAAGAGGACAGGTCCTGGGGCCTCCCCAAACCTCCACATAGCCACAGCCTGCAGTTATCTGGACAGCCCTGCTCAGACTGGCCAGGCAGCTGTAGTCTACTCTGACTTCCTTGTTCTGCAGAGGTGCTGGGAGGATTCAGCCCAGGGTCAGGGACTCAGCTCTGGTCCTCCTGAGTCTCTTTGGGGTCCCCTGGCTAGATGAACACTGCCTTCTCTGGTTTCTGCTGATTCCAGAGGGCACTATATGGCTGGCCTGCCTGGCAGCAAGGGGAGGATACAGGACGTTGCTAAGCAGAAACTTGCGGGACTTCTCATGCCTCAGGATGGAGATAGTGAGCCGCAGGTAGTGGATCTGTGGAGAGGGAATGCTCAGAATTGGCAGGTGAGGCCCAGGGGGCTCAGGGAAGGGACATTCGTTCCCACCTGCAGGCCCAGGTCTGGAACGATGGGTGAGAACCGGTACAGCCGCAGCAGAGACATCATCAATTGCTTGAGGCAATCCTGAACCTCATAGTCCTGGGAAGAGATGCTAAGGCAATCATTGGGGGTGGGGCTTTTCCAAGATCCTCCTCATAGCTCCACGGTGGGGTCTAACAGCCTGGCCTAAGCCTGGTTAGGAATCTCACCTCCATGAAGAGCCACAAGAGGTCCAGGACCTGGTGCACCAGAGACTGTGCCTGTACAGGCGTGCCCTTCTCCACGATGCCCAGCAGGAAGCCCATGAGCACAGCCTCCACCAGGTACACCTTGCGCTGCACCAAAGGCACTAGTGAGTAGGTGGCCTTCTGTTCTGCTTAGGGCACCTCTACCCTAGCACATGCTTAAGTCCACACTGAAGGGTCAGGCCTCAGGCACACAGTCTTGGGCCCCTTAAGCAATACACAGTTGAGCCCTTCCAGGATTTGACTGAGACACACAAAGGGCCACTGCCCCACAATCCCTCTAGGGCTTTGCACATGCAGTTTCCTTAGCCTGTGACATCATCACCCTTCAATCTTCTTCTACAATATACTGTGACGGAGATGGAATGTTTGCTCCTCCCGGGGGTGCTGTACTAGATATCTAAGGACTCTGGTTATATGGGACCCTGCCAGGTGATGCTACTGGGCTTCATGCAACATAGCACCCCAGTCCCTATCACAGACATGTGTACCATGGGCATGTCTAGCACAGTTTGCCTATTCCCCTCCATGATGTCCCCTCACCAGGAGTGGTGCAAAGCGATGGAAGATGTGGGCCAGCGTGAGAAGGACAGTAGGCTGGCCCTGCAACTGCCACTCAGAGCTGTCCTTCTGCACCAGCCGCCCTTCCTATGGGGGAGGAGAGGAATATTGTGGGAAGAAGGGCTGGGGAATGATCCCAGCTCACCTAGCCCAGACCCTGGCTCACCACAGAATCCAGCTCCACACTGAGCACTGCACGGAAGCAGCCCAGTAATCTCTGAGCCCGTACCAGGTCAGCACATGGTGGGTCCTGCAGGGGCCGGAAGCCCGCAACTGGGTAGGTGCCACAGAGTTAAGCCAATAACGCTTAAGATGAGGCACAGAAGCACTCCTCTCTCCCACCGAAAGCCCAGGGAAGGGTGACCTGGTTTGTATCACAACTTTCCTACTCTGTCCCTGTGGGGCAAAACTTCTCTACCTATTTCATGTTCTTCATTTGCCCAATGAAGACAATGCTGACACTTACCTAACAGGTTGCTTCAAGGACTACTGTCCATGGACCCACCAACCTAAGCTACAGCTTATACACTTCTTGCAACAGCCAGGGCCTGCCACCAGCCTACAGTGGTCCTGGGTAGGGAACTCCTCATTCTAGATGCCAAGCCACCCACAGCCATCTTCCCAAAATGATATCGCAGAGGACGGCTGCCAAAGTTGAAGGCCACAGACTCCTTAAAAGACAGGCTGATGGCTGGGAAGTAGGCCATGCCCAGGCCTCTGGACAGGTTCTCAAAGGCAGTGCCCAGTGACACACCATTCCTACAGGAGGAAAAGGGTGGGTCTGAGGGCCATGCCAGTAAGGGTGTGGTTGTCCACCTCAGGCTACCAAACTTAGCCTGACCCCCTTCCAAGAACAGGAAACTGGGGCAGTCATGGAGGTCCCTGAGGCCAAGCCTATGATAGCGGTGGGAGACTCACAGGCAGAAGGACAGAGTACCGTCATCCAGGTCAATCAGGCAGCTCACAATGTCCCCCGCTGCCCACGCCTGCCATGAGAGGAGGTCTTACACAGAAGTATAGCAGCCTGCCCACGCTGTACCCCCAGCTGCATTTCCAGGACCACCTAGGGGAGACTGGCCGCAACTAGAGATGAACCCCTGTCCTTTCCTCTGTCTACAGTCCTTCACAGCTGCCCAGTGGTCCCAAAAAGCTAGGGGATAGCAATGGGATTGGCGATCTACAGGGGACCTGGTCCTCACCTTGCCATAATTCGTTGTGGTCACATTCCACTTGCGCACTCGGTTCCCATCATAGGCATAGGAGTTGTGTGTATCTCCAACCCCCTCCTAGGAAGGAACTGCCTGTGAGGTCAGGGGGAAGCAAGCAGGGGGAAGGCTAGAGCCCACCGGTCACAATCTTAGACCCTCCATGGCTCTAGAGAAGGGGGCCAGTGCTCGTGTGGAGGGTTGGAAAGTGGTAAGTTCTACCCTGGATGTTCTGGAGTACACTAGGGCACATTCCTTCCCCAGAAGGCAGTCCAGCCCAGGATGCTGAGCAGGTTCTGGGAGCTGTCCTTGCTCTGATGAGACCTGGGAGGGTCCCTCCACTGCATATACCTCCTGATTGAAGCGGCAGTTGATGGTGCACCAGCCAATCTGCATGAGCCCCTGAGAGGAGATGAGCACCTCGTAGACCCACTTCCCTGGAAAGAGCAAAGTTAGGGCCAGCAGGCAGGTGAAGACTGCCTCTTGCCTCAGGCCTGAGCTCTCAAACTCTTTCCTGACTCTCTGGGCTCAGTGGAGTGTGCGCTCACCTTTGTACACGCATGTGGTAGAGCGGATAGTGCCAAAGTTGCTGTGTCCAATCACCTGGGTGGGGAAGTGGGGTGGTAAGCTTCCTCCCTTATGCACAGCTCCTATCCCCAGCTGAGCAAGCCCTTCAGAGGCCGAAGGGGGTGAAGGAACTGTGCCTGTGTCAGGAGGTTCTGAGCTGGAAGCATGGTGGAAAGAAAGGGCTTTATTGGGAAGGGCCTAGGGTTGGGGAAGGTTTCACAGCTAAGTCAAAAGGCTTAAAGGGCTGAGAACACCATGGTCTAAGGCCATATAGATGAGCAAAGAGAACTGGGCCATATTAGGAGGAGCTTGGGGCTGTGTCAGAAGGGACTGGGCCAGGCATCCCAAACCTTGCCCTCACTCACGCCCAGGAGGTCATCATCCACCAGAAGAAGCCCCTCAAAGCCTCCTGTGTGGTCTAGGACCACAGTGGATGGGCCAAGTCGTCCTTCGACCTCTTCTGAGAAGGAAAGAAGTGTGGGGTCAGGCATGGCAGAGGTCTAACAGATGTACAGGGTGTACTGAGCTTCCCCGAGAAGCCTCTGTAGTCCAGCTTTGCTCCCTTACCCGAATGCAGAGGATGCCCACATACCCTGGCTTTCTTCATCCTCGTTGTCCACCTGTAGCAGCTGGTCCATATGCTCTGGTAAATTCTGGAAGTTCAGGGGTTTCCTGGGGAGAGTAAGAGGCTGCCAGGGACCACAAGTCCTAAAACCAGCCAGTGGACACTAAACCCCTTCCTCATTCTTTCTGATGAGATTCAGAGAGTGGTTGCCTGGACTACAAAAAAAAAAGACTCTGCCTACTCCCAGACTCTGGCATGCTGGGAGTTAGAGGCTGGATTAGCCACTAAACTAAAAATTATAGCCAATTTAATATAGCATGTGTACCTCAGAATTGTTTAAAAAAAAAAAAAAAAGACTTAATTCCTTTATAAAAAGGGAACAGCAGCTGTATGTTAGAGATGCTGTGAAGATTCCAAGGAATAACATGCTCCCTGAATAGCCCATAATCTGCCCACTTTCAAATGCATCTGTGTTGCTGAGAGAAATGTCAGTTCTCCAATACGGTCAGTACTAAGGTTACCTGGTCCAGTCCTTGACCCTAGGCCTATGGTTCCTTTGGGAGTAGATTTCCAGTCTTCCCACCAGCAGCCAGGGAAGTTTGCTGAACCAGATACATCCTGGCAGTATGAAGGGTTTGGTCCTCTGAACTGCTGGCTGGGCTCTGTCCTCTACCAACCTGTCCATAGATGGCCAACAGAGCACATGGTCCACCTGCTTGCCACTTGCTTCAGACAAAGGGGCCAGAAAGTTTTGTCTTGGTGGCTGCCTCATCTTCTTAGCACATGCCCAGAGTGAAAATGGCTTGTTAGGCCAGACATAGTGGTTCATGCCTCTAATCCCAGCACTTGTGAAGCTGAGACAAGTGCAAACTGCAAGTCCAAGGCCAGCTTGAGCTACATAGCAAGACACTGTCTCAAAAAAGTATGTGTGTACTTGGGTGTGTGTGTGGGGGAGGAGGAATACTGTTTAATGCTGGCCACCTCTATCTTGAGCTCAGCTGCTAAGAATAGCAGGCAGCAGGGTGGTGGCAACCAGCAGCACTTGGAGAAGCAGAGACCTGATGCCCATCTGGACCCAGCCCATAGACTGCCAGCACCTTCTCTTTCCCACTTAATCTCAGTGCCTACCCCCACTCTTTCACCTAGACAGTAGGCTCTGTAAGGGGACAAAGATGGTCCAAAGCACCAAAGGACTACTCACAAAGTAGCTATGACCCAGGCTCAGGGATCACATGCCCCTCTGCTGTAAGCTCCACTGACCCTGAGCTGCAGGAAACCGAGTTGCATAAGGGTCCCTCCCCACCCCTGTTAAGCCCTAAGCCAAAGCCAGGGGCCAGCTATGCAACGGGTTGCCCAACCAGTAGCATGGAAGGCTAAAGCCAGCCCTGTGTCTGAACATTCCAAGCGTAAAAGAAACTTCCACAAAAGCAGTTCTTGCAGGACCTCGCTTGAGAGGGTTGTGTTTGTGCCTGTCCCCAAAAGTACAGGGCACACAGCTATGGGCAGCTAGACTGAGATAGCCTCCACCAAGTGCCCATTTGGCCAACTCCCACTCTTACTTGCTTTTTCTGGATTTCCCAGGGTCCTACATCTCCACAACCACTGACTGATCACTCCACCACCTGCTCTCCCTCCTGGTGGCTAGAGTACTAGCAGCAGTGGAACCATCTCTGGTATCACATGAGGTAGGGATCAGATGGCCTTGAGAACAGGCCAGGACTGGAATTAGGGTGAAGGTAGACAGGAGCCCTTTATTAGCAGGAACTTTCTGACCACCACAGCCATTTAAGGGGAATGGGAAATGATGTTGCCTTTTGGGCCTGCCCCAAAGAGCAGAGACTGTGAAGGATGGAAGAGCCCAGGTGCTGAGGGGCTCATACCTCACTGCAGGGAGGGAGAATTTGCATGACCCTGTAAAGAAGTAATTTGGATCAGGCACAGTGGCTCATGCCTATAATACCAGCTATGTTGGAGGCAGATATGGGAGGATTATGCTTCAAAGCAAGCCTGGGCAATAAAAGTTAGCAAGACCCTATCTTAAAGAACAAGCCAAGCATGATGATACACATCTATAATATAAACTGTGCACAGAGGCAGAAGTGGGAGGATTGTGGTGCAGTTTGAAGCTGGCCTAGGCAAAAAGGCTTGGGGTGTAGCTCAGGTGGTAGAATGCTTGACAAGCAAGTGCAAGGCCCTGAGTTCAAAACACCAATACTGTTTAAAAAAAAAGAGAAGCAATTTGGCAAAGGTCTTAAAAGTGATTGCAGGCTGGGCATCATGGTACACACCTATAATCCCAGAACTCAGGAGGTATTGAGGCAGGAGGCTTGTCAGTTCAAGGTCAACCTGGGTTACGTACGAGTAATGACGGTTCAAACAGTCTAACCACAATGCTATACTCCAACCCTGAGCAGCTTCATATCATGTTTACAAAGGCAAAAGTCCTTTCCAATGAGGACAGTATTATGGGCTACAACAGACCTTTAAAAGATGTTTCCGTATTAGGAATTGATTTTTGTTGGCCCTCAAAGATGCCAACAAAAATCAATTCATAATATGGAAAAATACTCCTGGGATAATGTATGAATATAAAAATTGGATTCAAACTTCTATAAACTTTTGGAAGTGATGAATAAGTCCATTCCCTTAATGGTAAAACTTACCAAGATGTATGTTTTTTTGTTTTTTGGTGGGATGAGGTTTGAACTCTGAGCTTCATGCTTGCAAAGCAGGCACTCTACTACTTGAGCCATACTTCCAGTCCATTTTGCTCTGGTTATTTTGGAGAGAAGGGTCTCAGGAACTACTTGCCTGGGCTGGCCTCAAACCACAATCCTCCCAATCTGAGTCTCCTAATTAGCTAAGATTACAGGAGTGAGCCACTGGAGTCCAGCAAGATGTACATTTTAAATACATGCAGTTTACAGCATGCCAATTATAATTCATAAGAAAAAAACTTTTTTTTTTTTTGTTTGTTTTGAGACAGTGTTTCACTACATAGCCTAGGCTGGCCTCAACTTCATGATACTCCCACCTTCATCTCCCAAGTGCTGGGATTACAGGTATGTGCCACCACACTCAGCAAGAATTGTTTTGTGTCGTGGGGACTAGGGTTTGAACTCAGGGGTTCACGCTTGCAAAGCAGGTGCTCTACTGCTTGAACCACACCTCCAGTTCATTTTGCTCTGGTATTTTTGTTTTTTTTAATTTGTAGTTGTACTGCTCTTGTTATTTTGGATATGGGGGTCTCTCAAACTATTTGCCTGGACTGGCCTTAAACCTTGCCTCTATCCTTCCAATCTCAGCCTCTCAAATAGCTAGGATTATAGGCATAAGCCACTGGCACCCAGCTCTGACAAAAATTTTTAAGAAGGGCAACAAAAGTGATGAGTTTAAGTTTTCTATACAACAAAGTCTGAACTACATACATTATAAGATAAAGAAAACAGAAAGGGCCAGGAACTGGTGGCTCATGCCTGTAATCCTAGCTACCTAGGAGGTAGAGATTAGGAGGATCGCGGTTTGAAGCCAGCCTGGGCAAATACTTTGAAAGACCCTATCTTTAAAAAAAATCCCATCACAAAATAGAACTGCTGGAGTGGCTCAGGGCGTAGGCCCTGAGTTCAAATCCCAATACCACAAAAAAAAACAAAACAAAACCCAAAGATCAGAAAGGAATCACATTCAAATGATCATGTCACAATAACAAGATGACAGATGATTTTGCTTGTATCTGATTTGAAGTTCCTGTACTTTTAACTTTTACATGTAATAAAATGTATTAAACTGGCAAGGAAAAAGACCTGATGGAGTTTCTACTTCGTGAGTTCAGGCAGAGAGAACTAGGGGCCCAAGTAGGGTAGAGAGGGTAAGTACAACATCCTCAGAAGGAAGGAACTAGCACTGCCTGGAGAGAGGAACAAGTAGATTCAAAAGGCAGACTCTGCCACAGGTCTCTCTGTTGGGATCAGAGTGAGAACAGAACCCAAGATACCCTTCCCCATGACTGCAGCCTCAACCTCTAGTCTGGTTCAGCAGAAAGAGAAGGGGTTTTCCCACCCAGCCATACCTGCTGGTGGTTGTAGGGGGTGCATGGTCAGGAGAGGAAAAGATGTGGTGCAGGTAGTCATTCAGCAGCTTCTCATGTACAATGCCTAGGCCACAGGTGAGAAGGGAAAAAAAAGAGCAAGTGGTCAACACAGCTCCTGGTCCCTACTGGCCCCAGAGACTGCTGGTCTTTAGCCAGCCACAGGGGTCAGAAAAGCAGCCATGCTGGGTGCACTGCTCCATGGTTGCTGGTCAAGAGCTGGCTCACAGGAACAAGGTATGCTGGAAGGCTCAAGGTTCACTGATCCTAGGACTTCACTGCATTTATTCTTTTCTCCTCATTCCCCCAACATAGGGACCATCCTCCCTGCTCTGCCAGCCCTTACCTGTGACCCCCGACTTCTCAGCATCTGAGGTCAGTCTATAGCTCTTGCGTGAGAAGGACATGCCAGCCCCCTTGGATGCCATCCTTCATCTCTCATGGGCAGTCAGTGGTCCTGGAGGCTGAGCCAGATGCAGTCTGTCTACTCAAGGCCAGCCAAGGGCCCTCCCAGACCTCAGTCCTGCAAAGGCAGGAAGGCTTAGGAACAGGTGAGGCCAGAACCATGCACATTCACTCACACATACCAAACTAGGGAAGAGGAAGCAGGGAGCAGGGACTCCTAACTTCCTACACCAGGAAGGGAGATAGGGACTAGGCTCAGGTGCCAAGGATGTCATGTTGCACACTGTGTGTCAGATATTTGTTTGCTGAAACCTAATTTAAATATCTCCGTTTTGGGGAAATCAGACCAAAATGTCCCAGAGAGGTAGCCTAGAATCAAAGCCCCTGTATCCACCTCAGTTATAAGCCACACTGGGTTCAGCACACATCCATAAGAGAGGACCCTGTAGCTATTTCTCCAAGTGCAGACCATGACCAGTCTGGCCATCTTCAGCCACAAATCCTACAAAGTTGAGTCTTCTTACCTTTCCCCCAGTTTCCTCCCTTCTTGTTCACAGTCCCACAAGTTTTCTTGTTCCCACTCATACATATGACCTTCTACTCCACTGGCCTTCCTACTGTTGTCTATCCCTCACATAGCATGCTGAGGTTGCAGCTGCTCCAGAACCTACACCACGTCCCTGGGGCTGGCTTCACTATGGATAACAATGCAGTCTGCAGCAGCCACATGTGGTTGTTTAAATTTGAATTTTTTTTTAATTTAAAGCTTAGTCTCTCAATTACAGTATCCACATTTCAAGAGTTCAATGACCACATGTGGATGTACCCCACTGGACGGAACATCACAGAACGCTCTATTAGACAGCAGCTGGCTAGAGCTTGGTCCTCCAGCACTACCTTAGCCAGTACTCCCTTCTCTGCAGGCCACTCTTATCTCCCCCAAACAGGCCCTCTGCTCCCGCCACATGGTTGCTTGCCTGCAACCATGATGATTGCCCTGCCTTGCTACCCACCACGGGCCCTCAGTGGGCATCCGTGATCGGTGCCCCTAACATCCGAGCAATTTCAGGGCTGATTAGACGCAGTCATTCAAACCTGGAAGCAAACCTTCCAGAAGCCCACACCAGGTGTCAAGCGTTGAGGATTTAAAGACACGGAACCGGCCCCTGCCCAAGGGGCTCCCTGCCACAGTTATCCTGCCCAGCCCTCCCGAGGGATCCAGGCTCAGAACCGAACCGATTCCGTCTCGGGAGTCCAAGGACGCCGAGGGCAGCGCACGACTCCCCCAAGTCGCCCCCGCCTTGCCCCAAGCTACAGAGGACCTGTCAGGCCAGCTCCTGCGGGAGTCCTACACTACAGGCCGCAACCTCCCTTTCCCTGTGCCGGATACTATCACTCTGGACCGGCCGGGGCCTCAAAGGGAGCCATCGAGACCCACCCGGCCCAGAGTCCGACAACCCCTCACTCACCCCCGGCCTTGGCCGCCGCGGCCGGCTCACAACATCCGCCCAGCCTCTGCACTACGGCACCCGTCCAGGGCCAAACCGCGCGCCCGCTCGCGCGCTGCGCCTCTAGCTGCGCACGCGCACATGCATACGCACCGTCCAGCGAGGCCGCGGTCTCCCACCAAGTTTTTCTCTGCCTTTGATTAGCCTGAAATCCCAACTACCTGTGACCACCCTCCCCGCCAGGGGCCTTCCTAACTCGGCTGTGAACGGAGGCGATATCCTAACCAAGATTCCTAGGTCACCAGTTTCTACTCCTACCTCGCTTGGAGGCCTCACCTGGTGTCGCCTAGGATGGCTTGAAAGGCTCGTGCTGTGGTTCTTGATATCTGCCACCCTTACACCTATTTAGCTCCAGCAGGTAGCCTTGCTCACCTTCCCTGGGATGACACTTCTGGCAGATGGGGAGCTTCCTAGGCTCTGCTGCCAGAGGCGTGGTCGGACCTGCCCACAGCTGGAGCCCAATAGATAATGCAGGAAAAGGTGGAGGTAGGGTTGGGGCAGGGGAGGTAATAGTCCCTACTTTCCAGGGAGAAAGTGAAATTCAGAAAAGCCTACCACCCAGGGACTGGAACTCTTTGGCAACTGCCACAATGCTCTTGAGTAGTCTAAACTGCATGGAGCCTTCACCCCCACCCCAGGGAGTTCATACAGAACCTTCCTAACCCATGCCCACTATATAGGGAGGCCTCTCAGGGGTCTAGTTGTACCAGGATGAGAACCCTTGCATTTGACCTATAGGGCCTGCGGCTTGACCTCACTTGGCTCCTGTTACCAGGTCTCAAGGTCAGGTGCCTCAAGTGGGGGTGTGGAGCCAGAGCCACCCAATCCTGTAGGGGGAGGTTTCACAACTTCCTGGATGGGGCTGTGGTGGGTCACAGTGCAGCCTCCAGCCAGGAGAATGGGGTGGCTCCCACTCATGCTGCTTCTGGTGCAGTGCTCAGTGGCCCTTGGTGAGTGCCCCCCACCGTGATCCCCATCTGCCTTCAGGAGCAGGTTAGTCCCCAAGTCCATGCTACTGTTCTTTATTTTCTCTTGCAGTACTGGGGCTTGAACTCAGGGCCTACATCTTGAGCCACTCCACCAGCCCCCTTTTTTTGTACGTGTTGGGTTTTTTTTTTTTTTTTTTTGAGATAGGAGCTCATAAACTAATTGCCCAGGCTGGCTTCAAACCTTGATCGTCCTGATCTTTGCCTCCTGAGTAGCTCAGTTTAAGGCACCTGAGTAGAATTAGCCCACAGGCACTGGGCTAATGCTACTATTCTTGCCAGGAGCTCATTTTCCTACTGGGCAGGGAGCATTGACCTTGTCCTCTTCAGCAGAGCTGGGGAGCCTTGGTAATATGGATAGAAAGGTAGATAGATACATACACACTGCCTACTCAGGCCTACATAGCACATTTGCTGTGGTGTTGAGGCAATGTTGGGACCACACAGATGCACAGACACCAGTGATTCCTTGTGAGCCTGATCTGTCTAACTTAGTATATGCCTTCATGTTGCTGAAAGCCCAGACTTGGGAGCCAGAATGCCTAGACTGAGTTCCTCCCTGGATAGTATAGTGCCTCTGAGCCTAAGCATTCTCACTTAGGCTCAGAGTGAGATGGGGCAAGGTCACCTACAGTTTTCATGGAGTGTGTTAAACCTGTGCCCAGTGCCTGGCCTACTAAACAGAGGTACTAATGAAAACCATCTTGTCTGGACCTGCTTCCCCCACCCTATGCAGGGAGGCTAGGTTGGTCCTTGAAAGTACACACCAGGCCCATCCCAGAGGCCTTGTATCTAATCCCTGAATGACATGCCAATATACGTGCACTGACGTGCATATCCACTTGCCCTGTGTCACCCCACAGGGCAGCGCTCTCCATTGAATGACTTCCAGCTGCTTCAGGACACACAGCTGCAGAATCTGCTACATGCAGTGGTGGCTGGACCTTGGCGGGAGGATGTGGCAGATGCTGAAGAATGTGCTAGGTTCTGTGGGTCCCTTCTGGACTGCCGGTGAGTGGCCAAGATGACTGGAAGTATGGAAACCTGGGACACTGAGTAACCCTGTGCTTTCTCAACAGGGCCTTCCATTACAATAGGAGTAGCCACAGTTGCCAGCTGCTGCCATGGACCCAGAACTCATCCCACACACAGCTGCACTATTCTAAGGGCTGTGACCTATTCCAGAAGAAAGGCAAGTGGCTTTGGGGAGGAGGAAAGTAGGTGATAGGGGACCTGGGACCTCAGTCCCTGTAGAACTTTCCTCTGTTGCTTCCAGACTATGTTCGGACCTGCATTATGGACAATGGGGTCAGGTACCGGGGCACTGTAGCCATGACAGAAGATGGGCTGCCCTGCCAAGGCTGGAACTACAAGTTTCCCAATGACCACAAGTGAGACAAACACCTTCCCTCCATCCCTACCTTCAGAATTCTCCCAGCATGCACTGTACTGATGCTCTCTGCCTACAGCTATATACCCACACTTCAGAATGGCTTGGAAGAGAACTTTTGCCGCAACCCTGATGGGTACCTGGGAGGTCCCTGGTGCTACACGACAAACCGTACTGTGCGCTTCCAGAGCTGTGGCATCAAGTCCTGCCAGGATGGTAAGTAGCACCAGGTCAAGTTTGGGGACGGAGGGATAGGCTCACTCCAGTCCAGGAACTCATTGGTTTTCTGTCTCCAGCTGCTTGTATTTGGTGCAATGGCGAGGATTATCGTGGTGCGGTAGACCGCACAGCGTCGGGACGTGAGTGCCAGCGCTGGGACCTGCAGCACCCTCACTCGCACCCCTTCCAGCCTGACAAGTATGCACCCTGGGGGGCCGGGCTAGGGGAGGGTTCAGGCCTACAGGGATGGGGCCAGAGTCCCAGGTCTTGTTCATGCCCAGGTACCGCCCCTAGGTTCCCGGACCGAGGTCTGGATGATAACTATTGCCGGAATCCTGACGGATCTGAGCGGCCCTGGTGCTACACCACAGACCCACAGCTCAAGAGAGAATTCTGTGACCTCCCGCGTTGCGGTAGGCCGGGGGGTGGGGCCAGGGCCAGGGAAGGCAACCGGAAATTTTTGGTGGCTTGACTGGGGAGGGACAAGAGGGACTAGCATGACCAGACGGTAGGTTGAAAGCAAACTGGATTGTGTACCCAAGACGCACATGAGGCAAGCCCAGCCCCACCCCAGCTCCGATTCCAGCTTCCAGTCAGGTTCCAACCTGCCTTGGTCCATCCGAGGGCCCGAGACACAACCGCGAGAGGCCACGACTTTCAACTGCTTCCGCGGGAAAGGCCAGGGTTACCGGGGTACAGCCAACACCACCACTGCCGGTGTGCCTTGCCAGCGTTGGGATGCTCAGAGCCCGCATCAGCACCACTTTGCACCGGAGAAATACGCGTGCAAGTAAGGTGACAAGCAGGAACTGAAGGGCGTACTCCTATGGGCGGGAGTTGAAGGGTGGTCCTGCAGTGGGGCTTGAAGAAAGGCGGGGCCTGGAGTGGGGCTAAAGGCCCAGTCTGAAGCTGGCTGCCAGATTTGGTGGAACCTGGCCACCACTGAGGTGAGTGCCCGCTCAGGGACCTTCAGGAGAATTTCTGTCGGAACCCCGATGACTCAGAAGCACCCTGGTGCTTCACATCCCTTCCTGGTATACGCATGGCCTTCTGCTACCAGATCAAGCGCTGCACGGACGAAGTGCCCCCAGAGGGTGAGGCTGGAGCAAGGGATACAGAGCTGGGACTGGAAGCCCCGAGCCTGAGGGCCAGGGCAAGGACTGGGACTGACGCTGCTTTTGTCCGCCCACCGCAGACTGCTACCACGGTACAGGGGAGCAGTACCGCGGCTTGGTCAACAAGACCCGCAAGGGCATCCCCTGCCAGCATTGGTCTGCAGAGACACCGCACAAGCCTCAGTGAGTCCTTGGGCGTACCCAACCCGGACTGGGCCCTAATCCTAGGGCAACGTGCTTTGGAAAGGGTTTGGAACAGCCCTATAATTTTGTTTCCCTTCCCTGATAGGTTCACACCCACCTCAGCTCCACAGGCGCAACTAGAGGAAAACTTCTGTAGGAACCCAGATGGGGATAACCATGGGCCATGGTGCTACACTACAGACCCAAGGACCCTGTTTGACTACTGTGCCCTGCGAAGCTGCAGTGAGTACTGATGACACTTCCCCTTGACTATGCCTCAGCTCCCACCTCCAAAGACTGGCTTCCTTAACCTGGGTCAACTTGGTCTTTCAGATGATGACCAGCTGCCATCCATCCTGAACCCCCCAGGTGCAGTCTTTGGTCAGCTGTGGGTGGAGACCCCGTACATCCCAACTCCACCCAGGAGGGTTTCATCCTGTCCATCCCCCAGACCAGGTGCAGTTTGTGAAGTGTGGGAAGAGGGTGGACAGGCTGGACAAGCAGCGCTCCAGGATGCGTATGGTGGGGGGCCAACCAGGGAACTCACCCTGGACAGTCAGCTTGCGCAATCGGTGAGGCACAAGTGTCTGTCTCCCCAAGAGAGGAGCTAAGGCTCTGTCCTCCATGATCATGCCTATAAGGAGTGTCCCTGACCACAGAGGTCCTTGCCAGATGTTGGCAGGTCCAGCACATGTCCCAGGACTCACTGTTCCTTCTCCTAATCCCCATTCCTCCAGGCAGAGCCAACATTTCTGTGGGGGGTCCCTAGTGAAGGAGCAGTGGGTACTGACTGCCCGGCAATGCTTCTCCTCTTGGTGAGCCTCCCTTCAGTTTGGAGACCCTGTCCCACCCCCTTGGTTTCATCCTCCTCCCAGCTCACTTTATCCAGCCAAGCCAACAAGTGAGCCATTGGGTAGCGGACTGGGAGTTAAAGATGACCTAGCAGAGCTTCTCTCCTAGCAGTGAACCTCTCATGGGATATGAAGTATGGTTGGGCACCCTGTTCCAGAACCCACGGCCTGGGGAACCAGACCTGCAGCGGGTCCCAGTGACCAAGATGGTGTGCGGGCCTTCAGATTCCCAGCTTGTCCTGCTCAAGCTGGAGAGGTATGTGGACAAGTTTAGAGGGTGTGAGGTGGGGCTGGGCCTTGTAGTCTCAAGCCCTCAGTGCCCTTATTCCTGGTAAAGATCTGTGACCCTGAACCAGCGAGTGGCTCTGATTTGCCTGCCCCCTGAGCGGTATGTGGTGCCTCCGGGGACCAAGTGTGAGATCGCAGGCTGGGGTGAGACCAAAGGTAAGAGCACAGTGCCCAGGCATGGACTGCTCCTGGTCAGGTGGTAGAGCCCTAGATCCTGCACAGGGACCCTCTCCTCACCATTCTCCTCACTGTAGGTCCAAGTGATGAAACAGTGCTCCACGTCGCCTCGCTGAATGTCATCTCTAACCAGGAATGTAATAAAAAGTACCAAGGACAAGTACAGGAGAGTGAGATGTGCACTGAGGGATTGTTGGTTCCTAGAGGGGCCTGTGAGGTCAGTGGCAGGGTTTTTGGGCCAGCATGGGGCTGGAAATGTACTACTTTATCAGCAAGGACCAAAGCCCTCACCAGTTTTCCCACCTGCCAGGGTGACTACGGGGGCCCACTCGCCTGCTTTACAAATGACTGCTGGGTCCTGGAGGGAATTATATTCCCCAGCCGAGTGTGTGCACGGCCCCTCTGGCCAGCCATCTTCAAGCGTGTGTCTGTGTTTGTGGACTGGATTCATAAGATCACGCACATGGAATAAGCTTGGCCTTGACCACTTGCCTTGGGGAGAACAAAACTTCCTGTCAGACATAAAACCACCTTTCCTCTTTATGCCTGTACACAGTGCTTCTTAGCCTCTAATGCTAGTGAATGAGTTGCTGACTCCTTGCAAGGGCCTGGGTGTCTTAAGCCCAGCACACTCTGGGCTGGGTGGTCGGACCCTAGAACTACCTTATCCTGTGAGTGCTGTAGAAGGGCAAAACCTCACTCATCCTCCAGAGGCCCTCCTGGAAGTATAAAAGTAGTGTAGAGCAGTTTCTAACCAAAGGCCCCCTAGCAGAGAGAGCTAGCCTGGTACAGAGTCCTAGTTGACCAGGACAGGCAGAGGCTGAACTTCTTACTAACCCCTCCCCACTGATACCAGAGGCAGGTGAAACCATTGTGGTTACCACATCCAAGGCCTAGGGTCTCTGGGGGATGGAGTGGGGGATGGCTTGGTACAAAGTACCAGCATGAATCAGGCTGTGTGTCCTCATTTATTATGACTATGTAGTCCACATTCCTCCGTCTACTCATACATGGAGTCCAGAGCCCAGGAAGTCTCTTGACTGCTTTGCCAGACCCTGGTACTCCCCAAGAGCCAAGTGTGACACAGGCTCACGCAGAATGGCAGGGCTTCAGCTGCTAAAGTGTGTGTGGAGCCAGAGTACAGCATTCATGAAGCTGTCTGATTCCACCTCCACCTCTGATAGTGCATGGGTGCTTTTGGGATAGAGCAGGAGCCTGTAGGGGTTGGGCAGCAACATTGAGGTTGGAGGGTCCTCCCCTGCTCACCTGCTCCCAGCTGCCAGGGCTATCCTGTGGCACTCACCGAACAGGCACATTCCGAGTTTTGAGAGCACGGTAATACTCCATACCCTGCTTGAAGGGTACACGCCGGTCCTCCTGACCTAGCATCAGTAACAGTGGTGTCTTTACCTGGGAGTGGGAGTGCAGAGGATGGTGGTGAACTGGGTCCTCTGTTCTGGATGGATGGGTAGCACACCAGGCAAGGAGGAGGGCTGGGTACCTGAGGGATGTACTTGATAGGTGACTTGTCCAGCATCTCTGCCCATACACTGAGGTCTGGCAGGCAGTCACTGCTATAAGGGAAGCCAGTCTCTACCACACACCTGCAAGAGACCAAGCCGATGCAGTCCCAGGAACTCTGGGACCTGCAGGGGCTCCATGGGAATATGGGATGGAAAGAAGGACAGGGACCTGCAGTGCACACTCACCAGTCAGGGATGTCAGTGGAGCCCATCATGGAGGCAATATTGATCACGGGGTTGCGTGCCACACAAGCACGGTAGGTCTCTGGGTACTGACCAATCAGATGGCACGAGAGGAACCCACCATGGGAACCACCCATAAGGGCCACACGGCCTGCATCAAAGTGCTCTTCCTGGAGCACCTGCTCCACTGCAAACTACAGGGCGAGGCAGAGAATGCTGCAGCTAGCTGCATGCCCAGCTAAATGGGGCCATGCCCCTGATTTCCACCCTCCAGTCTGTCCAGAAGCCTCACCCCCTGCTACCTGGACATCCTTCACATCCTGGTGGCCCACATTGCCTGGAAGAGAAAGGATGCTGTCCTGGCCAAAGCCCGTGGAGCCACGATAGTTCACTGAAGGTGAGGAACAGAGTCATCAGGCAACATTCTCAGCGCCCTGGACACTACTTTACACATTTACGAAGTGGGCCACAGACCATTACACCACAGACTGTCAAGTGGAAATAGCCAAAGATTTGAAGCTGCTACCCAGTGACCACAGCATCCTTTCCATGAAGTCCCAAACTAATCCACATTATCACCAGGCCATGGAGAACCTGCCAGTGCAGTTCCTGGTAGTGGTCACTAGAGGAAGTAACCAAGTTACAGAAAGATCTGGAGACTAGGATGACACCCATGGGTTTATCCAAACCAGGACCACCCCACCACTTCACCAAATCCAAGTAGAACTACAGCTCCCTCCTTGCTCACCTAGTAGCACTGCAAAGCCCATCTTGCAAAGCATGGCTGGGAACAGCATCCAGGCAGCAACAAAGGATGAATGGGGCCCCCCTACAGACAGGAGCAGAGGGTTAAAGAGCCAGCTAAGAGGGGTGGTGGGAGGGCAAGGGGGGCTCTTAAGCAGATGCCTACCGTGGGGCATGACCACCATGGGCACCTGGGTCTTATCTGGAGGATTACTGGGCTGCAGAAGGATCGCTTCAAAGTCAAGGCCAGCTGCAGGGAGAGGGAAGCAGTCAGCAGGACCATGCGACTTCACATGGGCTTCCCCAGTCAAGGCCCCATCTATAGCTGCAGGTTTGGGGCTGACCTATGGAACATGACCTGGCCAGCCTAGACCACATCATGATACCCAGATCCCTGAGGCTTGTGCACCTACTGCCCCGGTCAGAGAGCCCCTCTAAAGGAACAGCATTCTGGATAAGGTGTGGTCACACAAGCCTTGTATGAGACCTCTCATATAAGGCCTGCCTCTCTCTCTCTCTTTTTTTTGGTAGCATTATTGGGGTTTTAACTCAGGACCATACTCCCAGGCCTGGGCCTTAATTTTCTCACCATGATGATTTGCCTGGTGGTACTCAGTGCTGATATCTAGAGCAGGCACTCAGATCCCTGGATGCTCTTCCCCATGACCATAATCCATAATTACAGAAAACCTCTTAGAAGAAATTTTAGGAAACATGGTATTTTCAGCCAAGAAGCAGACAGGGTCACTGAAAATGCTGGGAAACCTAGAGAAGATGTCCCTGTGCCCCTGGCCCAACTCACCATACTGTACATTCTCTTGCTCTGGGGGTGGCTGTAGCACCCGGATGTCCCAGTGAATATCAGGAATGGATTCAGCCTCCTCCAAGGACACCCATAACACTGATTGCTCCTTCCCTGCAGGAGGCAGGAATCCAACTTTCTGCCAAGAGGAAGGAAACTGTCACAGGTGGCCTGGCTACCTCCTTGTCCTTCTGCTTCTGTCCAAAGTGGGAAGTGGGCAGCTCTCACTAAGCTGCACCTTCTGCCCAACTCTAAAGAATACAGCATGGATTCTTGTTGAGTGCTATATACCAAGGTATTCACATTCACATATGACCCCTCTTCACCCACCCTCCTCAGCTTCCAGGTTCCACTGTTTGCCTGTCTGTGCTCTGTAATACCAGCAGTCTAGGCACTTCTGCAGACACCCTATTAAGGACAGAGCAGACTCTAGCCCATAGTTCTTCCCCATGAGTGCCAAACCCTGTGGGCCATACTGTGCTGGGTCTGTGTCTTAGCCCAGTTCCCTTGTCTGGGGTCTCTGCCTGCATAGAACCCCTACCTCCCAGCCGGGGACCCACCAATACTCACCAGGCTTGGAGGCAGGCTGGGTGTGGAAAACTGTGCCACCATGAGGTCCCTGTCAATTGTAAGCAGCTTCCAACTTCCACCTGACCCTCCTGGAGATAGCAGATACCACTAAGTACCTAGCAGGGACCACCACCTTCCCACCTGCTCTCTGTAGAGTCCCAGCTGGAGGCTGTCTAACCAGAGAAGCACCTCTCACAAACACCCAACTGCTCAGTCCATTGTTTATCCAGCAGACTCTGGCTATGCCCAGGAACGGCAGAACTGGAGACTCACCAGGTCACGATGGCACAATGACTGTAGTATGAAGGGGTGGCAGCTAGGCCCAGGGAGTTGGGTGTGTAAGGGAGTCTGGGTAGTGGGTCCAAGCAGATGCTTAAGCAGGACTGTGTGATGAGATGTAGGTTTGGAATAAAACTTTCATAGCTTTGTGAAGGAGCAGGTAGAGATAGAGCAGGTGGAAAACTCAAAGAGAATTTCAGGGCAGGCATCAGGTGTGAGTATGGGGAAGACAGGGTTTCTCTTGGGCCCTAAGGTGGCAGAGCTGCTTTTGCCTGGAATAGGGCACCTAGAGTTTGGGAAGAGAGATAATAACTCAGGACTAGACTGGTCTGTGGGGTTTAGCATAGGGGTGGAGCCATCCTGAGGCTGGGCCAGGACATACAAAGTTGAGTGCTGAAGGGCAGTGGAGCACAGGAGATGTTATGTGGTTGGGTCAGGGCCTTGCATGGGCAGGATCCTCAGGGGACTGTTAGTAAAGGCTGTGGAACAGTCACTGGTGAGAATGGCTGATACTGCCACTGCTGCCTCTCATATCAAGCTCTAGCCTCACTTCAGACCTGGCTGTCTGGCTCACCAGTTCTGCTCTTACCACTACTGCCCAAGCCTTGCTCACCAGGTGTAAGGGAGATCACACTGCCTGTCTGGGTGTCCACAGCAAACAGGTCCTAAAACAGAGGGAAGGTGTGTGCAGCACCATGTCCAACAGCCCTATGGGGTTGGACACCTCCCCTCTTGGGGACCCTGGGCCAGGCCAGCACTGTAGGCAGCTATGGGAATGGCTACTCAGTGCAGTATTGAGCAGCCTGAAGGCTTAGGTTCAAATCTCAGCCCCATCACAACCTACCAAGTGTCCCTGGAAAAGGCAAGGAATGCCAACGAGCCCCTTTTGAGTTAGTATGAGACTAAATGATATCACATCCAAAAAGGAGTGCCTGGCACACTGTGGTGCTCTCACCCCATCTCTGGGGAAAGGGCTCATCCTGTCTCCATCAGTTGCCCTTATAGAGTGTTCAGGGATCCATTCCAGAGGCAACCACCTTGTCCCCTGGCTGGAAAAAGGGACTAGGGCTCTGCTGTGGGGCACCAGGGCAGCTGGTCCCCTTAAGGAGAAGTGAGTCCAGGACAGGGCAAGCAGGACTTCAAGGGGCCAATGAGACCTTGGGGCTGGGTATTCTCCAAGGGCATGCACATATCTGTCCTAAGTCTCAGGCTCCTGGCAGTTGATCATGTGTTGCCTTTCAACAGAGTCAGAGGCCCTTACCTGTCGACTACGTTGAGCTGAGTCGAAGACTACTCTCTGGCTGTCAGCCGACCAGCATCCCAGAGGCAGAAGGCTGCAGTAGATCCCAGAGAAGTTCTCTGCAAAGATGGGAAGGCTGGGACTGTGTCC